GTTCCGCTCATTCAGCTGTCCAACGCTGAGCAGATTATGTTTGGCGTCTGGCACGTAAAGCACATTCTGTATCGATAAGTCCAAACTGTGAAGAACAACAGTTCCGTAGCCTTTACTGGGAATAGTGTGGTCATCCGCCTGGTGAATCGCACCTTCCTGCGGTGTAAAAGACACAAACAGTTTCTTATCGTTGCACATGTGGTGGGTGGCCGCTGAATCAACAACGAAGAAAGATCTAGACGTCTTCTGGACCTCTGCAACCTTTGGAGTGAAGCGTGAAACCATAGCCTTGTGCTGCGTTGTCCTAGACACCGGACCTTTGCCTTTGCCTCGGCCTTTTCCGCGCGATGAGCTTCGCTGCGCTGCTCTGTCTTGGCCCTGGGATGTCTGCATTCCCTCTTCATATGGCCTAGACGTCCACACGAGTAGCATTTCACTGCCTTCAAAGCTTTGGCGCCATCTGGTGGTTCCACTGCACTATGGGATGACGTCTGTGAAGACTCCCTTGCCCATGCAGCTAGCACCCCGGCGATCTGCTTCATTTAAAATCACGGCAGTAACAAAGTCCACTGTCAGCTGAGCAGTTGGTTGCACAGCAATCTGGGTTGCAACAGACTCCCAACCTGAACCCAAAGATTGTAGTATCATGAAAGAATACACAGCCTCTGGAAAGTTGAGTCCTCTCTGTTGCAGCTCATGTCTCAGATTTTGCATCTCCATTAGATGTAAACGCACATCTCCACCTTCAGCAAGAGCCATATTGTGCAGCTTGTTAAAATAAAACATAGTGGATCCAGCTTCTGTCCTTAAGTGAGCCTCTTTCAGAGCGTCCCAAATTTCTCTGGCTGAGGTCTTATCACGCAATAGACAGAGCTCTTCTGGGGATACTATCAATGTAAGAGTTCCCCTTGCTTTGGAATCCTTAGCTTCCCATGCATCTGTAACTGGAACTGGGGGTTCCTGTAATCACCTCAAACAAACCCTCTTTCCGCAGAATTGCCTCTGCATACTGAACCCAGTCGCTGTAATTTTTCTTGTTGAGCTTAGGAATCCCACAAGCATCCTGAAGGGCCATCATGACTCTGGCATTAGCCTTCAGCGTCATATGCTGCTTTAAATCTTGCTGCGTCACTGCTGCAGCTGCTTTATCCAAAAGCGCACTTAAAAGTTACTTTCGATTTCCCCAGCATAGTGACTTGTGCCTGGGAGCCTTTTGCCTATTCCCGGCAAAACCGGCTTTAAAAGTTCAAAGTCCAGCCATAAAGCCATTAACTTGAAGCTGGCAGCCTGCCATATGAAGATAAAATCAAAAACAACAAACTCCAACCAAAGCAAAGCAGGAAGGTGGTAGCAGTGCAGACCCAAATGTCCCATCAGCCATTTTCAGAAGCCTGCTGGAGCCGCAAGATTTTAGCATTTTCTGCCCTCCCTTCCCCACAGGTGGGCAGGGTTTGTGGCACCGAGCGAGGGCTCACCTGGGCGGGTGCCTCCCTCCTGACCCGCCCTCAGTCAGGGAGGACAATGGATGGCCGGCCAGGGGTGGGGCAAAGGCCAAAGAAAAGAGGCTGACCCCTTTGTCCAAGCCTCTGGGGGCCGTAACCTTAACCTTAACCCCAAGGTACGCATTTATTGGATGGCCCATGTTATGTACTGCAGTTCTCACCCTGGGCCAGCAGGGGGATACTGTAGATAGTTTTCACTCAGGTCCATGTCAGTTACTTTAGGCAGGAAACCCTGGGCTGTTGTTGCTACAATGCTGACAGCCAGCTGCTTATAAAAGCAGGCCGGCTGAGCTGTTTGCTGTGCAGTTGTGTTCCAGCTTACAAAATAAAGAGCTGCTTTGGAGAAATCGCTGTGTCGTCTGCCATGTCTACCCACTATTTAACACTGGCGACGAAGGTGGGATCGGTGGACATCAGAGCTCAGCCTGATGCGGCCACCCTCTGAACTGAGCTGAATCACAGAGCGAAATCACTGGACAGAACCAATTCAGAGCTGACTGTTCTGGCTAGAGCACTGTGTTCCATCCATCGCCCTTCACGCCGGCATCGGAATCATGGCTTCACTTGTGCCTCTACCGCCGTTCGCGCCAGCCTCTGAATCATGGGACTCCTACCTCACTCGGTTTGACTGCTACCTCCAAGCCAACGAGCTGACAGCAGTATCAAAGGAACGGAAGCGGGGCCTATTCCTCAGCCTCTGTAGGCCTGAGGTGTTTGAGACGGCCCGAGCATTGGTTGCGCCTGAAGCAGTCCAGGCAACACCATGGGACACGATCCATGAGAAGCTCCGCAACCACTACGCGCCAAAGCCGTCCAAGATTGCTGCCCGCCATGCGTTTTACCACCAGAACCAGGCAGAGGGGGAGTCAATCAGCAACTACACCACCGCCCTGCGACAGGCTGCAATGCACTGCGAGTTCCGAGACTTAGACGATGCCCTGATGGATCGAATCGTCTGCGGGGTCCGGGACATCCATCTGCAACGGCGTCTCCTCGCCAAGCCAGACCTCACGCTACAGAAAGCTATTGAGGAGGCTGTGGCCTCAGAAGCTGCTGAACGCTCCGCCCAGGAGATCCGCAAGTCCAGCAGCCCGCGTCTTGCTAGGAAGCCAGTTCCAGTGCATCACGAAGAGGCCGGTAGTGATGAGGCATCCTCCAGTGAAGACGATGACGTGCACCAGACAAAGCGGGAGCGCAGGAAGTTCCAACAGAAGTCCAAGGGACAACCGGAATGTGCCAGCTGCGGAGGCAACCATTCCCGTGCCAAGTGTCGATTCAGAGACGCCATCTGTAGGAAGTGTTCCAGAAGGGGCCACATCGCTAAGGTCTGCCGATCGGCTCCGTCTGACACCCCCCATCACCGACTCGCAAGTCCAAGTCTTCACTCCAGTCTGCCAAGGAAAGCTGTTTCGATCTCACCAACTGCCACTGCCCGTCTGGAACCACAATTGGCCAAACCGACTCGCCTACGCGACGAAAGCTGAACGTCACGGTGCTCATTGAAGGAGCTCCATGTGACATGGAGATCGACACCGGGTCTGCCCTGTCCATCGTGTCTTGGAGCACCATCAAAAGACTGGTACCCAGAGTGTCCAAAAGGCAACTCGACTCTCACCGCGTACACCTGAGAGACTACCAGGGAAACGACATTCCCGTGATAGGCGTTGGCCGGTTCCAGATCGCCTTCAAGGATTTTTCGGGCCTGCTCCGGTTGGTGGTAGTCGAAGGTCAGTGGCCAAGCCTCCTTGGGCTAGACTGGTTTGATGCCCTCGGCCTGGAAGTCACCGGCATCAACTGCATCTCTAACGCAGAGACTGAGGGTCTGGTCAAAGACTTTGCCGAGGTTTTTGACGGAACTTTGGGGCAATATACAGGTACGGCCATCTCCTTTAGCCTTGATCCACAAGTCACCCCCATCAAGCTAAAGCCACGCCGGGTTCCCTTTGCTCTCAAGGCTAAGGTGGATGAACAACTGGACAAGCTGATCGCCCAAGGAGTTTTGGAGCCGGTTGACCGTGCCAAGTGGTAAACCCCCATCGTCACGCCTGTCAAGCCAGACGGGTCGGTGAGAATCTGCGCTGACTACAAGTGCACGATCAACAAGGCACTTCAGCAGCACGCTTATCCGGTTCCTGTTGTCCAACACCTGCTGCATTCCCTGGGTGAGGGTAAGGTCTTCGCTAAGCTGGACCTTGCCCAAGCCTATCAACAACTGCCCATTGATGATGCCACTGCTGAAGCCCAGATGATCGTCACCCACCGAGGGGCATTCCGTTGCCGCCGGTTGCAGTTTGGGGTGAGTGTGGCTCCTGGCATCTTCCAAAGCCTTATGGAGCGTCTCCTGCAAGGGCTTCCGGGCGTGGTGCCATATTTTGATGACGTCTTGGTGTCCACAGACTCACACCAGCAGCTGTTTGAGTGCCTCCGTGCCGTGCTGACCAGGTTCCAAGAGGCCGGGCTCAAGGTAAAGAGGGAGAAGTGCCAGATCGCCGTTCCACAGGTAGAGTTCCTGGGCTATCTTATCGACGCCTCCGGCCTTCACCCGACCACATCCAAGATCCGCGCTATCCAGCAGGCCCCCATTCCAAAGAACAAGACGGAGTTGCAGGCGATCCTGGGGCTGCTGAACTTTTATAATATGTTCCTGACCAACAAAGCCACGGTGGCTGAGCCTCTTCACCGACTCCTCAGCACAAAGACGCCTTGGTCCTGGGGTCATCGGGAGACGGCGGCCTTCAACGCGGTCAAGGCTCTCTTTCATCGGACCGTGTGCTGGTACAGTACAGTGAATCCAGGCCGCTGGTCCTTGCCTGCGACGCCTCACCTTTTGGCATCGGCACTGTCCTTAGTCACCGTTTTCCAGACGAAAGAGAAGCACCGCTCGCCTACTTTTCCAGGACGCTATCTCCGACAGAACGGAATTACAGCCAGCTCGACAAGGAGGCACTGGCACTTGTGGCTGGAGTGAAGAGGTTCCATGAATACCTCTATGGCAGGACTTTTGACCTCATCACTGACCACAAGCTGCTCCTGGGCCTCCTCGCCAGTGATCGTCCAACTCCACCGGTCCTCTCGCCACGCATGCTGCGATGGACTGTTTTCCTGGCTGCCTACCACTACCGGCTCGTCCATCGCCCGGGGAAATCGATGGGCCATGCCGACGCCCTCAGCCGTTGCCCTCTTCCAGCGTTTGTGGAAGACCCGGCTCCAGCTTCATCGCTCCTCGTGATTGAGGATCTTCCAGCAGCGCCTGTATCGGCTGCCACTGTGGCCTCCGCATCTGCCCAGGATCGCACCATCAGCCCTGTGCTCAACTGGGTGTGGAGGGGGTGGCCCCAAGGGCCTTTTGCATCGGAGTTCCAGCCCTTCGCAACCAGACAACATGAACTCTCGGCTCATCGCGGCTGTCTGCTGTGGGGAGACCGTGTCGTGATTCCCCAAAGACTCCGTCAATGTGTCCTGGAGGCTCTGCACATTGGCCACCCGGGAATTGTCAAAATGAAGGCGTTGGCTCGGTGTTACGTCTGGTGGCCTAACATGGACGATGCCATCACTGCCTGGGTGTCCGCCTGTCAAGTGTGCCAAGAATCGAGGCCTGCACCACCGGCAGCTAAGGGACAGACCTGGGAGATGCCCAAGACACCCTGGTCGAGGGTGCACATCGATCTGGCCGGCCCCTTTCACGGCCGGACCTTTATGGTAGTGGTGGATGCCTATTCCAAATGGCTGGAGGTGGCCCTGATGCCCTCCACCACTACCGAGGCCGTCATCCGGGTGCTGCGAGGCCTCTTTGCGACGCCTGGGTGTCCTGATGTCCTTGTCTCCGATAACGGACCGCAGTTCCCGTCAGGCACTTTTGAGTGGTATCTTTTGGGACTGGGCATCCGCCATGCCCTAACGGCACCCTTTCATCCATCCAGCAACGGGCAAGCGGAGAGAATGGTGCGCTCGGCAAAAGAGGCACTGGCGCGCCTGGACCGGGGAGACTGGCACGAGCGGGTCGCCGAATACTTGCTCGTGCAACACATCACCCCTCATGCGACCACAGGGCGGAGTCCTGCTGAATTGCTTATGGGCCGCCACCTCAGGTCACCGCTCGACCGGCTGCACCCGGACTTTGCCATGGCCGAACCCCCAGGCTGTGCCAACGCGCCACGGTCATTTGTTCCAGGAAACCAGGTCTTTGCCCGGAACTATGTGGAGGACATTCCTTGGGTGCCAGCCACAGTAGTGGGAGTCACTGGACCTCGCTCGTACCAGGTGGCACTCGAAGACGGACGTTTGTGGCGCCGGCACATAGACCAGCTTAGGCGCAGGGTTGGGGACTTGGACACTACCGTGGTGCCCCCAACTGCGCTTGTGGCTCCAGAAGAGACACTTACAGATGGCGAGGCTCCACCTACACCTCCCTCGCAAACTGCCAGCGTGGAGCCGAACCAAGCCGCTTCAGAGGGTCTGCCAGACTTACCACAGACTCAGACCACTCCACTTGCGGAGGCTCCACCCGCAGCAGCAGATCCAGGGGATTTGGTTTCAACACCACCCAGGGTTGCACCACAGCCTCAGCAAGAATTGGGTGGCCCCCCGGACTTGGCTACCAGTCCCCGGCAGCCTGAAAGAGTTTCCAAGCGCCCAACTTATTTAAAGGACTATGTTGTTGGACATGTATCACTGTTGGTCTAAGTAGGGGAAATGTAACCGATATGCTTTTGTGCCTAATTGAACCATTACGTGTAGTGCTGTATATAAGGAAACCATTACGATTGTAACTAACGCCTTATCTCGGTGGGGAGGGGTGTTATATACTGAAGTTCTCACCCTGGGCCAGCAGGGGGATACTGTAGATAGTTTTCACTCAGGTCCACGTCAGTTACTTTAGGCGGGAAACCCTGGGTTGTTGTTGCTACAATGTTGACAGCCGGCTGCCTATAAAAGCAGGCCGGCTGAGCTGTTTGCTGTTCAGTTCTGTGACAGCTTACAAATAAAGAGCTGCTTTGGAGAAATCGCTGTGTCGTCTGCCATGTCTACCCACCATTTAACAGCCCAACAGGGCATGCGTTGGGCGAGCATGATGCCCATGTTGCGTAGTGCCGCCGCGGCGCATGGCCCTCCGAGGGTCTAGATTTTACATTTGGGTGAGAATGATCTAGCGGAAGAGAAAGGCATTGCCCTGACCCTTGCTGCAAAGGCAGTTATGGAAAGCCTGCATGCCTTGTACCCGACAATGACCATCGGCTGGTCCAATCTCCTGCCCCGTCTGCGTTGGAGAGGGGTTTCCAATCCCTCTCGCATCAATTATGCTGTGGGGGAAATCAACAGGGCCATGCGCAATACCATGCGGCTAATTGGTGGGTTTTCTATTGCACATCCCACCATCAGGGCAGATAAGGCTGGCCGATTCCGGGCGGATGGAGCGCACCTGACCCCACTTGGTAATGACCTATGGCTGCACGATTTGCGACAAGTCCTTAGGTAGACAACAGGGTTTGATGGCAGAGAATGGGTGATTGGTCCTTGGTCGTGGGACTTGGGGGCGAGGCCCCTTAGGGTCTCCGGTGGCGGTTTTAGGCCTTGGCAAGGTACCCTTTAGTCTGACATCAAGTCGGGGGGATGCATTCATGCTCCCTCCCATGCGGCGGCATTTGCAGGGCCCGTTAAAGGGCAAAAACCAGGAGTCCCTGGCCCTAGAGCGGCAGCATGTAGGTCAAACTCCCGGGACGAGGTCGGTGGAAGGGCATGCTGTGTAAGTTTGCGCTTTACAGTCCCCTCTCACTGGATCTCATCTGCCTGCACATCCTCAGCCAGGTGGGCTGAGAGGGTTACCTGCCAAGGTCTGTGCCAAGTTTCCCACTTCTGAAGCTCCATAAAGTTGTGGCCAATTTGAACCTATACTCTGGTCTCTTGTCTCCTTCTTTGGGGAAAAGGGTAGGCAGCAGAGACAGGGTTTAGTGCGTGTCACCCCTAAACATTGTTGTGGGTTTGGGGAGGGGTCAGTCTGCCCCAGGTCCCTTCCGATGCTTGGGATCCTGTATCTGTGGGGGCTGAATGGACAAGATTGCCCAACCAGTCCCTTTGTCTAGGTAATGGCTGGGCCAGACTAGCTTAGTACCTCAATTAGCGCAGCCAAAGAAGTTGCTGTGTGCCAGAGGGCAAATGGGTGCGCCTTGCCTCCACCCCCTCACCTCCCTCTTAGGTAGGAGAACAATGGCCAGGGTGGTGTGAGAGAGCTGGGCTGGAAGGAAAGCTGGGAGATGGGGACCCAGAGACCTGCTTGCTCTGTGCAGGATCCAAAGCGGTGACCAGTAGAGAAGCAAGATCTCCTAGGGAGTCGATGCCGTGAGCCCCTCCATCCTATGCTCAGGTTGTAGATCTGTGCAAGTAAAACCGTATACAGGTGAAACTCGAAAAATTAGAATATCGTGGAAAAGTTCCTTTCTTTCACTAATTCAACTTCAAAGGTGAAACTAATATATGAGATCAACTCGTGACGTGCAAAGCGAGATAGGTCAAGCCTTGATTTGTTATCATTGCGATGATCGTGGTGTACATCTGATGAAAACCCCAAATTAACAATCTCAGAAAATGAGAATATTCAAGGAAATCAGCAAAACAAGGATTGCAAATCGAGCAAGATTGGACCTCTGAGAAGTAGAAGCATATCTCGCTTTGCATGTCATGAGTCGATCTCATATATTAGTTTCACCTTTTAAGTTGAATTACTGAAATAAAGGAATTTTTCCACGATATTCTAATTTTTTCAAGTTTCACCTGTATCCTAAAGACCCCACAGTCTCCTTTCTTGAACCTTACCCCAAATAATGAGTTGTGCCAGACGACTTTGTTGAACAGGCACTATATAAATGACGCAAACAAAGAAATCACCAACACCCAAACCTTTCAGCACATGCAAAACCTAGACACAGAGCACATCAAAGCCCAGGCTTCGTCCTTGCATGAAACAAGGGTTCCTGCAGGGGTTGGACTAGATGACCCTTGGGTCCCTTCCACCCCATCAGTTCTAGGATTCCAAGGGTGCAAAGACATGTCTGGAGAACTGGAGGGTGAGGAGGTGCTGGAGGCGGTTTCTGACGTGAGCCTGCTGCTTCCTGCCCTGGTTTATCCCTCACAAGGCTTGCAACGTTTGGGCGCCACATGTCAAATCAAATCCATGTCACATTCTTCCCCCAAGGTCAAAAGGCACCGGCTGCCGAAATGCAGAACAATGTCACGTAAGCAAATTGTACAATATGCAGGGCAGAAAGAGCTTCCGGCCCAGTTATGTCTGTTTCTGCCATTTCATAACAGAAACGCTTCGTTGAAACTTGTGGGGGTTTTTAAAGCAAATTTGATGTGAGTATTCACAGATGTCTTATTAATGTCCATTCTTTATGCTGAAAGCCAATGGGTTGTTGTTAACTGTTATAAGAAAAAACTGCTCCTTTTCCCTTGCGGGGTACCCAAGAGCCCATATAGAGTCCTTTTGTAGGTTCTCTATCGGTAGGAGAAAATAACAGAGGCCAACCAGAGAATATTGAGAAGCAAAGCAGCTAGTAAGCCAGATCTTTATTGAACTGTTGCAACAGGGTCCTCACTCACCACCCGAAGGAGGGAGGAGGAAACCCAGAACAATGGCGCACAAGGCCTTATATAGATATTTTAAATTCCCTGTCCTGGAGCTCAAGACCACCCCTCCATACATCATACCTACATCACAGAAAGGGCGGTCTACAGCAGAAATATGAGTGCTTTGTTTACCTCCTGTCTGCCAGGTTACATGTTTAACGGTCACTTGATTGGATTGCCTGGGAAGCTTGGCCAGTCTTTTGTAATGATAAATACTTAGTTCCTGAGCCAGGTCACAGCCTCACACCCTATTCAGATCTTAGGATTTGTGAAGGAAAAGACAATGGGGAGGCTTTTCCATTTTCCTTGGACCTTGCAGAGAAAACATTTGCTCAGTTTGGGAATCAAAATGGTTTCAGGTCGGTCTTCCTGTGCTGATCTATGTACGTGCTTGGCTGGTACACTTATGAACATTTAACATATACCTAAGACCTCAAAATTCCTATCACATAACTGCTTGTTACTAAGAGCACACTTACTTAATTTAATGGTCATGGCTAACTTTGGCCCATTAATTTCAGTGGGCCTACTCTGAGTAACGATCATATACCCTATGCAGGAAGGGTGGTTCCGTAATGGATGGGCCAAATCATGGGGGGGGGGGCAGGACAGCTGCCCTCCTACCCAGAAGGCTGATGGGGTCTCCTTCCCCCTCCTTTTTGAAGATGGAGACAACATTTGTCCACCTCCAGCCCACAGAGACATCTGAAAGGGTCCAGTTCTGGACACTGCAGTTTAAGAAGGATGTGGACAGGCTAGAAGGTGGGCAGAGGAGGGTGACTGAGATGGTCAAGGGTTTGGAAACCAGCCCTTGGGAGGAGCGGTTGAGGGAGTTGGGCATGTTTAGCCTGGAAAAGAGGAGACTGATGGGTGACGACAGCCAAATTCAAATATATGAAGGGCCATCCCATAGAAGATGGATGTTATGTACTGAGTTGAATAGGATCCAAAATGCAGCGGTCTGATTGGTCCTAGAACAATAGGATTCAGAATGCAGCAGTCTGACTGGTCCTCGAACAATAGGATTCAGAACGCAGCAGTCTGATTGGTCCACAGGAGCCACCCAATCCTATCCAGGTGGAAGTGATTCCGCAACCTGATTGGCCTACAGGAGAATCCCAGAATTAGCCAATCCCATGGGGCCCATTGTGTAAATAATGTATATAAAGCAGACATTCTGGGGGAACTTCCATTCCTCCTCACCATTATGAGCTGAATAAAGAGCATGAAATCCACACTCGACTCCGAGTATATGTCAATGGAGCAAGCTTGTTTTCTCCTACTCTTCGAGTCACAAGAAAGGAGATTCTGACTAAACCTTAGGGGAAACTGTCTGTCCTGGCCATGCTTTAGCTCAGATTCCTGCATTGCAGGATACCACTGAGTTGGACTGGATGACCTCTGGGGGTCCCTTCTGCCTCCACAACTAGGACTCCATGGAAAGCAGAATGATGCTGTGCTCCTGACAGTTCTTGCTGGCATCCGTCCATCTCAGGAGCCAACGGAGGAGGGCACCTTCCGGGGTAAGGTCAAACCCTTGGGCGGTTGTGGCGCCTGCTGTGGCCGTGGAAACTGACACGGTAGAGACATGTTTTGCTGCAGCCAGGGCAGAGGATGGCGTCCTGTTGGGCTGCTGCAGATGTCACCATGGCATTCCTTCTCTCCGTGCTCCTCCTCTGCTCACTGCTGCAGACGCACGACCAGACAGTCCACATCTAATATTCTCTGAGAAGTGATGGCCATCTTGCTGTGCCCTCTGCCAGGGATGCTTCAGCTGAGATTCCTGCAATAATAATAATAATAATTACAGTGGTACCTCGGGTTAAGTACTTAATTCGTTCCAGAGATCCGTTCTTAACCTGAAACTGTTCTTAACCTGAAGCACCACTTTAGCTAATGGGGCCTCCCGCTGCTGCCGCACCGCCGGAGCACGATTTCTGTTCTGATCCTGAAGCAAAGTTCTTTACCCGAGGTAATATTTCTCGGTTAGCGGAGTCTGTAACCTGAAGTGTCTTGTTACAGGAACACCCCCCCCCCAATCATTCAGTTTGTACAAACATGACACACACACACACTCATACACGACATACGCAACACTTCTGTTATAAATTAATAGAAAATCAGCCGTACATCGGATCTGTACCGTTCCACTTTTATTTTACACCATGAAGGAAGGACTATCAAAGGGGGAAGACTTGACACAAGGCAGCCAACAGGTCTGCAGGGAGCCCTACCCAGTTGGCATGTCCTAAACAGAAGATCATTCCACTCACAAAGAACCTGCATATGGAAGTGGATTCAGTACGGACTGAAACACAGGACATTGGCCAGCCCTTCCCTCTGGGGGCAGGAAACTGTGAACTCCTCTTTGTCCTCAGGAATGTACCGTATTTTTCGCCCTATAGGACGCACTTTTTCCCCTCCAAAAATGAAGGGGAAATGTGTGTGCGTCCTATGGGGCGAATGCCGGCTTTCGCTGACGCCGGGAGCGCGAGCGGCGTCGGTGCGCCCCGACACCTCTCGCTCTCCAGGCTCCAGGAAGCTATCTGCAAGCCTTGCGCACCCGGGGGGAGTTCCCCTGGGCACTCAAGGCTTGCGGGCAGCAGCCTGCAGCGCGGAGCACGGGGCGCCCTCCAGAGGACGCCCCGTGCTTCGCGCAGGTGTCCGCAAGCCTTGCGTGCCCGGGGGGAGATCCCCCTGGGCACGCACGGCTTGCGGGCAGCAGCCTGCAGCGCGGAGCACGGGGCGCCCTCCGGAGGACGTCCTGTGCTTCACGCAGGTGTCGGCAAGCCTTGCGCACCCGGGGGATCTGCCCCGGGAGCGCAAGGCTTGCGGGCGGCAGCCGGCAGCGCGGAGCATGGGGCGCCCTCCGGAGGACGCCCCGTGCTTCACGCAGGTGTCTGCAGCCTGCCGCCCGGCGCGTGGGTCGCCCTGAAGCAGAGCGCCCCTCACGCCGGGCAGACATCGGCCAGCCCCACAAGCTGGGGGACAACGGGGAGGCGCAGCGCCGCCATCCCACGGTTCCCCAGCCTGGTTTTGGGGGGGGAAATAAAGGGAAAAAAAATTTCCTTTATTTCCCCCCCCAAAAAAGTAGGTGCGTCCTATGGGACGGAGCGTCCTATGGAACGAAAAATACGGTAATCATGGGGAGGGGGAAAGGAGGAACCGGACAGGTGACAAGACACTCAGGTTACCACCACAACTCCTCCCTCAACCCCTCCTCTTTGTGATGTGTCAATGATGTGGTCATGATGTAGTCTTAGAGGTGTAGCATGGGGGATTAGTAGCTGATAAAAGTTGGGGTCTTCTTTTGTTTGGGGCTTCCATCTTGTTCCACCTGGTGGCAGGTGGGAGTCCTGTGGCGACAGTCTTCAAGAAAGACCAAGCCTACTGGCTGCTGTTTTGCTCTGGTATTCCGGGCTGGGGTCCTTGTTTTTTTTGTCCAAGGGAACCCTCAGATTTCTCCATTAACAGTCTGTAACCTGAAGTGTCTGTACCCCGAGGTTGATGTTGTTCAGTCGTTTAGTCGTGTCCGACTCTTCGTGACCCCATGGACCAGAGCACACCAGGCACTCCTGTTTTCCACTGCCTCCCTCATGTTGGTTTCTTCGAGAACACTGTCCAACCATCTGGGGGGCAGCCAGGAAACGGAGAAGGGGCAGGGGCTGGTGTTGAACTGGGCAGACTCCCCAGTGGGGAAACGCCAGCAAAGCTTGCAAGGCCACCCCCCCTTGAGGAACTGGACGACCGTGACGACGACGATGATGATGACGAAGACGACGAAGACGATGACGACGACGATGGTGGTGATGGCGATTGACCCCGGCCTACTTCCTTGGGGTCCCTGGCCAGCCTGAAGGAAGCGTGTGAGACAGGGAAAGATAAAGCTCATCAAAGCTGCATGGGCAGAGTTCTCGCCAGGTCACAAACTGCAGAGAGGGAACTTGCTTTGTCCCTGGGTCACATGCTGGGGCATCTTTCTTGCTGCATCACAGACCTTGGCTTCTCTGGAAGAGGATAGATAGATAGATAGACAGACAGATAGCTAAGAGCAGCAGACGCAAGGCCTAGCTAGCCCAGCCTCCTGTTCCCATAGATTGGACCCGCCCCCCCAGACGCCCTCAAGGGAAACCCCACAGCCAGGCAGGCAGGGAGGGGTCCCCTTCTAGCGCTGCTCCCTCTGCAACTGGTTGTTGTTTAGTTGTTTAGTCGTGTCCGACTCTTCGTGACCCCTGGACCACAGCATGCCAGGCACTCCTGTCTTCCACTGCCTCCCGCAGTTTGGTCAAACTCATGCTGGTAGCTTCGAGAACACTGTCCCACCATCTCGTCCTCTGTCGTCCCCTTCTCCTTGTGCCCTCCATCTTTCCCAGCATCAGGGTCTTTTCCAGGGAGTCTTCTCTTCTCATGAGGTGGCCAAAGTCTTGGAGTCTCAGCTTCACAATCTGTCCTTCCAGGGCTGATTTCCTTAAGAATGGATGCGTTTGATCTTCTTTCAGTCCATGGGACTCTCCAGAGTCTCCTCCAGCTCCAGAATTTAAAAGCATCAATTCCTTTGGCGATCGGCCTTCTTGATGGTCCAGCTCTCACTTCCATACATCACTGCTGGGAAAACCAGTAACCCGAGGTACCACTGTATTATTATTTATTTATATCCCGCCCATCTGGCTGGGTTTCCCCAGCCACTCTGGGCGGCTTCCAGCAAAATATTAAAATACAATAACTCATCAAATATTAAAACAATTCCTCAAATGTTAAAAGCTTCCCTAAGCAAGGCAGGGGGTGGGACTAGATGGCCTCTGGGGGTCCCTTCCGGGTTCCAATCCCAGAGAAGCAAATAAAAGTATTCCCCTGGAGGTGAGGGGGTGGCTCTAGGCGGGGAGGCGCTCTGCCCATGCTCAGGAGCGCCCCGTTGGGGCCTGGACGCCGTTGCCAAGGCGACGCCGCCCCGCTTCCGGGTTCCGGCGCCCGGCGATGACGTAGTTCCGGGCGCCTCTCCTCCTTCCCGCTTGCTTCTCCCTGGAGGATGGGGGCCGCCCGGGAGGCCGAGCAGCAGCCGGCGCCGGAGCCCGAGCGGGGCGACGAGGAGGACGAGGAGGACGAGGAGGCGGCGGGGCAGGAGGAGGCGGAGGAGGAGGAGGCGGCCGGGCCCGGGGGGTCGGGCGCCGCGGTGAGGGGGGGGGAGGCCGGGGGGGGAGGAGGGGGACCCCGTTCCCGGGGGGGGGGAGAGGGAGAGACCCCCGACTGAGGCGCCTCTCGTCCCCCAGAGCCCCTGGAACATCATGATCAAGCACCGGCTGGTGCAGCGGAGGGGACGGAGGTCGCAGGTGATGACCAGGTGAGCGGGGGGGGGGGAGGGGGGGAGGGGGGAGAAACACCCCCCACAAACACACACACACAATGCCGGATTTACGTAGAGGCTAAACAAGCTTTCCCTTAGGGCCCCACTTTCTGGGGAGGCCCCCCCAAAAAAAATTAAAGGGGAAAAATGTACGTTTCCAAAATATAAGCTAAAAAACAAATGAAATAAAACCCGCCTACCTGTTTTGTTGGCTCCTATGATGTAAATCAAGCATAGGCAACCTCGGCCCTCCAGATGTTTTGGGACTACAGCTCCCATCATCCCTAGCTAACAGGACCAGTGGTCAGGGATGATGGGAGTTGCAGTCCCAAAAGATCTGGAGGGCCGAGTTTGCCTATGCCTGGTGTAAGTAATGAGCCCCGCCTGCTAGCCTGCTCCCTAAAATATCACATACAGTCATACCTCGGGTTGAATGTGCTCCGAGGCAACCCGGAAGTAATGGAATGTGTTACTTCTGGGTTTCGCCGCATGCGCAGACCATCAAAATGACGTTACGCACATGCGCGGAAGTGGCAAAACGTGACACACGCAGACGCACCGTCGCATCTTACGTTCCATTCAGTATGCGAACGGGGCTCCGGAACGGATCCCGTTCGCATCCCAAGGTACCACTGTATTTTGTAATGTGCAAATGGCTTTAGATACCTGTTAGGTCCGTAAGTGACCATATAGCATATATTCAACACAGAAAACATTGACAATTTGTTGTTGACAAAGGACAGCTGGACATATCAAGGGCCCCATTGCCTTCAGGAGCTGAGGGCCTCATCAAACCTAAATCTGGCCCTGCACACACCCCACACGCAACAGCGGCAGGAGGAGCCCCTACCAAGCCGGTTTCTCCCCCAGGTCCTGCCCTTTGCTACCAGCTCCCCCTGGGCTGAGGATGCTCATCACCTGGAGGCAGAAGGGAGAACAAGAGAAAGACCTCACACACACCCCATAGCATAGGAAGCGATGGGGCTGATTGGACCAAAAAATCCTTTTCTCTCACTCACACACACGCAAATACCACTGCAAGCAACCGAAGGCAATCCTCCAGGCTCTGGGCTCGCCAACAAAAATGAATAAGCAAATTAGGAACCTGTCCACATGACACAAAAACTGCACGTGTGCTATGCAAAAGAAGGAAAGGTCATTATCCTGCCCTCCCCTCCTTTGCCTTGCCCAAGGTGCTGCACTTCCTGCAGGTCAGATGAACAATGAAGCTGCAGGTGGGAAGGTTTGGGACAGGTAAAGCAAAGTCCTTCTTCACATGACGCAGTATTGAACTGCAGTATTCACTCCTGCAGGAGGGTAGAGATGGCTGCCAAACCAGACGGCTTCAAATTATTACTATTATTAATTATTATTATTTAGGTTTGTATGTCACCCTTCATCCATACATCTCAGGGAGGTTCACTGCATATAAATGCAAGGTGAAAACACAATATACATAATAAAAAGAACAAAATAAACCACGTGCTTGGGAGTGATTAACAGAGGAGAGGCTATCATTGGCTACTAGCCAGCAACACTTCTGAATACCAGTTGCAGGAAACCACAGGAGGGGCATGTTGCTCTTTTGCTCAGATCCTGCATGAGGGACCCCTCTAATGGGTGTCTGGTTGGCCACTGTGAACACAGGATGCTGGACTAGATGGGCCATGGGCCTGATCCAGCAGACGCTGCTTACGTTCTGCTGTAGAGCCCAGGGGTGTGCATGTGTTTGCTGGCTGCATCCAGCCATCTCTCGGTCCAGTTTTACAGACCCCGTGGTTTCTATGGACCTGCTCCGAGCCGTCCTGCAGCCCAGCATCAACGAAGAGATCCAGGCTGTCTTCAGCAAATACATGAAGGTAAGAACATCAGAAAGGCCCGTGATGGACCTGCCAGCCTTGTGAGGCTGTGCAGGAATCCTGCCCACATTCAGCCTCAGGGTGCCTGGGGAGGGCAGACCTTTCCCCCCATTCAACCATTGGGGCTTCTGTGGGCAGCAGTGAGAGGGAGCTGCTGGCCCAGGTTTCAACCACCTCGCAGTATGCCAAGTCGGGTGAAGCTTGGGAAGGGATGGGTGGCACTTTGAGGGGCAGCTAATTTGGTCTGCGCCATCCCTGTCGTTCCCAAGTTCTTCCAGAAGGCCGCAGGGAACGTGCGGGAGAATGTCGGGGAGGACGTGGACACGGAGCAGCTCATCCAAGAGACGTGCCGGAGTTGCCTGGAACAGGTGGGTGCCTGAGGGTCTTCCTTGTTTCAGGAATGAGTTCCCCCGGGGGAAGGGCCTCTTCTGGGGGCAGAAAGCAACACCAGCAGGTCTCAGGACCTCCCAGGAGGAAGCCACCTCTGCCTAGCAGGATGCTACAGGGGGAGTGAGACATGTCGTCGCTGCTGATGACTTCTGGCCGTGACGGCGATGCGTCCGCAGGCAGTGATGCTTCCGAATAGCACTTCCTGGAAGGCCCAGGAGGGGAGAGTCCTGCCCTTGTGCTCACACCCTGCTTGAGGGTTTCCCAGAAGTGCTTAGCCCTGAGAGAACAGGATGCAGCGCTAGAGGGGACCTCTCTAGAGCCAGTGTGGTGTAGTGGTTAAGAGCGGTAGTCTCGTAATCTGGGGAACCGGGTTCGCGTCTCTGCTCCTCCACATGCAGCTGCTGGGTGACCTTGGGCCAGTCACACTTCCTTGAAGTCTCTCAGCCCCACTCACCTCAGAGAGTGTTTGTTGTGGGGGAGGAAGGGAGAGGAGAATGTTAGCTGCTTTGAGACTCCTGAAGGGGAGTGAAAGGCGGGATATCAAGTCCAAACTCTTCTTCTCTCTTACCTGATCCAGCAGGGTACCTTCTTTTGTGCCAGACACACCTCTGTGGAGTAGGAATTCCACAGCATTTTGAGGTTCCTGATTCCCCGCATGCTGCTGTTGTTAAAACTAGGCTCCTGGTGTCCTTGTGCTCTGCTGGCAGAGGACCATGTGGGGTGTGTTGCATTCCCCCCCCCCCAGTCTTTTTATTTATTCATTGTTTTCGGGTTTATGCATTGCACTAAATTTACAATCATTTTCACATTTCAAAACTTCATTTCCTTCCCCCTCTTGTTGCAATTCCTTAAATTTATTTTTAATATCTTCTACATATCCAAATTAACTTACCGTAATTTACTCATTTATTCATCTACTTTAAATATATGCTATTATAAAACTGCAGGTTATTACAACAATCCTGCCAATGTTCTTATCTATTTACCATTTATCTGTAAATATTCAATAAACCATTTCCATTCTTTTATAAAAAACTTGTTATCTTGATTTCTTATTTTTCCGTTAAGTTTTGTCATTTCTGCATATTCCATAAGTTTTTTTTATCCATTCTTCCTTTGCTGGGACTTCTGCTCCTTTCCATTTTGGGTCGAGTAACATTCTTGCCGCTGTAGTAGCATACATGAATAAGTTTCTATACAGTTTCAGTAGTTCTGGCCCTGTAATTCCCAAAAGACAAGCTTCTGGGGGTTTTTTTACAATCATTATTTGAAACATCCTTTCCAATTCATTACATATCCTTTCCCAGTAAGCTTTAACCTTACTACAAGACCACCACATATGATAAAAACAACCTTCTTTCTCTTTACATTTCCAACATTTATTTGGTTTAGATTTATACATTTTTGCCAATTTACTCGGTGTTAGATACCAGAGATATATATGTTTTTCATATAATTTTCTCTTAGAATATAACATGCTGTAAATTTTATATCCATATTCCACAATTGTTCCCAGGCTTCCATATCTATATTATGACCAAGTGTCACCTGCTGCTTCCCAGTGGCCATCCTCAGAAGCCTTGAAGCGGCTACAATTGGCAGTTGGCATATAATTCCTAGGATCTTAAGGGTTCCAGCACAGGGTGCTGAGCACAGACTGGGTGCCTCGGCCATCCCTGCTGCACTCCTGACCCTTTCCTCTCCCTCCAGGCCAAGCTCCTCTTCTGCGACAGCAAGAAGTCTGCTGCCAGGCTGCCCCACGAAGTGCCAGCGATGAAGGTAGAAACCCTTTTCTCTCTTCTGCAAGGGACGGGGCTGGTGCTTTCTCTCTCGCGCCCGGGCGTGGGACCTTCAGGTGCCTCTGAGCAGCCATCGGCTATCAGCCCTGTGCCTCCTCCTGGGGAGGACTTTGGGAGCGCTGGCTCGGAGCAGAACTGCCCCAAAGGGCCCTGCTGGCCAAGGAGCGTCAGAGCGGGGAGAGACGAATGCTTCTCCCATTTCCAACGGAGCCTCTCTTCTCCCTGACCAGCGTGCCAAGCCAATGGAAGAGGAGATGAGCCAGCAGGGAAGCCCCATCCCCAGAAAGGTAGGAGACCCTGGGAGCTGTTAGAGAAGCAGCAGCGGCGGGGGGGGGTCACTCTGGAGCTCAACTCCTGACCCTTCAAGATAGGCCAGGGGCAAGGGTCACCAGGGTACGTCACCAGCCAGAGGGCATTCTCGGCGGTGGCGCCTGCCCTGTGGAAGGTCCTCCCATCAGATGTCAAGGAAATAAGCAGCTATCTGACTTTTAAAAGTTACAGGTCCGCCATAGTTGAAACAAAATAAAAAAAATCCTTCCAGTAGCACCTTAGAGACCAACTAAGTTTGTTATTGATATGAGCTCTCATATCTGAAGAAGTGTTCATGCACACGAAAGTTCATACCAATAACAAACGGAGTTGGTCTCTAAGGTGCTACTAGAAGGATTTTTTTAATTTTGTTTCGACTTTTAAAAGACATCTGAAGGCGGCCCTGTTTAGGGAAGCTTTTAATGTCTGGCGTTTTATCACTTTAATTATTATTACCTTTAATTCTGTTGGGAGCCGCCCAGAGTGGCTGGGGAAACCCAGCCAGATGGGCGGGATATAAATAACATCATTATTATTCAGGCCCCTCCCTGTGCTGTGCTGCTTCTGTGGTTGTGGGCTGGGGGGAGGTCTGCTCCCAGTGGGGGCAAGGCTTGCACCACCAGGAGGAGCAACTGTTGGCCAGGAGACACTGTAATAAAAGATGTCCTTTTTCAGAGGAAAGGGCGGCCTCCAGGACAGAGCCAGGCAAACGACCGAGCGGCTCCAGTCGGGAGCACGTAAGTGTGGCGTCCAGCTGGGCTGAGGGGGGTCTATGCTGCAACCTCCAATTCCCCCTCCCACAGTGCTTTGGAGAGCCCCTGCTGAGACAAAGGCAGGAGTCAGTTCAGCAGCAGAGAGAGCAAAGCAGCCAAGCCTATCATAGGAACCAGTAGAAAAAAGACAGTCACGGAACTGAGAAATTACACAAAACAAATGAAATACCGTGAAAATCCCTGAAACAAGAAGTAATCGACTAGAAATAGTATCTTATAGAATTAAACTAAATGACAAAAATCAAAAAGTTTAAGGAAAAAATTAGAAAAATCTAGAATTGAACAAAGTCTTAAACTTGCCATTTAGGTTTTCAAACCTTTTTTGTAAACTCAGTTTTAGAAACTGTACCTTTGAGTCCTCAATCCTTTATTACTGTGCTTTGCTTCACTTAGGTCGAGCTAGGATTATAATACTTCAGAATTTTTGGGAGTTTTACCCCCTTTCTTTGAATTTGGTCATTTAAGGCTTATGATTTCTCTTATTTCCTTTTGAGGAAACTGAATAGTTCAGTGAAACGAGGTTTATAGCCGGCATCCCGTTAAGGCTTTGTTCAACTCTAGGTTTTTCTAATTTTTTCCTTAAACTTTTTGATTTTTGTTATTTAGTTTAATTCTATAAGATAAAATTTCTAGTCGATTACTTCTTGTTTCAGGGATTTTCACGGTATTTCGTTTGTTTTGTGTAAGCCTCCATAGGAAGCAGCCTTATCCTGAATCAGGGCATTGGTCCCGCTAGCTCAGTATTGCCGACACTGACTGGCAGCAGCTCTCGGAAGGCAGGAGGTCTCTCCCAGCCATACCTGGAGGTGCTGGGGGTTGATCCAGAGACCTTCGACCTGCAAGGCAGATGCTCTCTCAGTGAGCTGCATCCCTTCCCCAAGCGTGATTGAGCCAGGAAGGGGAGGAAACAGGCCTTCCCAAACGAGGACGCTTCCTGGGGGTGGCGAGGCTCTGGCTTGGCTCATCTCTCGGGAGAAGGCACTGGAGAGGCCAGCCCTGCAATTGATCCCGTTGGGCTTTGGGTAGGGCTGAGTCCCCTCAAAGCAGAGCGCCCGGCCCTTTCAGATTCACCTTTTCAGAGTCACATGATTCTCAGCTCCGACGCCTTCTCTCCTTTCAGGTGGAAAACCAAGTCCTGCGAGCCAGTGCAGAGGGATGGTCCCAAGGTAGGCTGTGCCCTGCAGCCCCCAGCCCCTTGCTATGCAGAGTCTCCCGGGGCGGGGGGAGATGGGGGGACCTTCCTGCAGGCAGGGAGCTCTTCTGCCTGATCCAGTTCTACTGGATTTAACTTGCTTCCGCAGAGCCTGTAACACAGAGCTATTCCACCTGGCTTTCAAGTTGAACTTAGCCTGATCTTTTATTCCCCTTCCTTCCCTCCCCCTCCCCTTTTTATGAAGATTACCCGCTCTGGAATCCCACAGCTAATTCTCCCCCGGTCTCCTCGCTGGCCCAAACAGGACTAACTTAGCCAGCTAGCCCTGGTGATCACCTAATGTTTATTGGATGGATTTCCCCCCTAAATTGATTTTGGAATTCTGAATTTATTGTTATTTTATACTGTATTTTATGCTGTTTTTTGTTGCATCAATTAAGTGTTTTAAATTTGTTGTTAGCTGCCCTGAGCCCGGTTTTCTGAACCAGGAAGGGCGGGGTATAAATACAAATTTATTATTATTATTATTACTGAACACCAGCTGTCAGGGACGGGGAGACACAGTGGCAAACGGCAAGGGAGGGCTGCTGAGTGCACATTACCACTAAGACTTCCCCGGAGTAAGACCGAGTCAGCAGCAAAACCTGAAGCGGGGATGTAGTGGAGGGAGGCATGAGCAAACTAACTTCTCTCCTTTTCCTCCTCCTGCTCCTGCTTTGCAGTGGAATCCCTCACGGATCACAGACACCACTACCTTCGTCCTTGGATCAAGGGCCAACAAGTAAGCCTTTGCCAGGCAGGGGGGCACAGGGCTGGGGGGAAGACCAGGTGGATTTTTGCGTGCACACCCCTTGGGGACAAGCAGAGCACTGAGCTGATAACCACAGACTGGCCAGTGCTTCTTTGAGGTGGGGGCTGAGGTGGCTTTAGGCCAGGGGTGTCCAAACTTTTTTCAAAGAGGTCCAGATTTGATGAAGTGAACATGCGTGAGGGCCAACCAAAGTTGTGGAGCTTTTTTAGGATTTTACCCCAGGAAATAAACTGCCACAGGCGCCGGGTCAAACCCAATTAGGCCCCTGAAACGGACTTTGGACATGCCTGCTTTAGGCATATGTCTGGGTGGCAAGGATGGGGTGCAACTTACCAGGTGCAGAATTCTAAACCCCCTCCCTTTTTGTTCCTGATTCAGAGCCCTCGGGATGGGGGGAACCAGAGGCAGGCTCTACATCAAGCACCCCCACCTCTTCAAGGTCAGTCATTCGACCCCCCTTGACTCTGCCCCTCCACATCCTCTGCCCTCGGACCACAGGGGAAGTGAGCTGGTGGCATTCTCAGAAAACACACCTGTCAGGTCTTGACAGGCCTCACCTAGGAAAGCAGGTGTGGTTTTCTTTCCCTGCCTATTACTGTCCTCTGGCTCCTGAGTACAGTGGTACCTCTGGATGTGAATGGGATCCGTTCCGGAGCCCCGTTCGCATCCTGAGTAGAACGTAAGATGTGTCTGTGCGCGCGCGGGTTGCGTTTCGCAATGCATGCGCGTGACGTCATTTTGAGAGTAATGTACTTCATTGCTTCTGGGTCGTTGCAGAGCGTAACTTGAAAACGCTCGACCTGAAGGACATTTAACCCGAGGTATGACTGTATTTGTGTTTGATGCACAGAGCTTTGAGTGGTTGCGGTAGAGCTCACTGCTCTTCCCCGTGTGTGTACCTGTGGGTACCTGTAGGACCATTGACCCTAGTGTTTCCTTTCCCCCCCCCACACACACACTCAGACCTCCTTTTCCACCCCTGAGCAGCAGAAAAGTCTTAGAATGTGAAGAGACGTTTGCACAGTAGACCCCGAGGGTGGTGGCACAACATCTCTCTGTTTTTCATAGAATCACAGAATAGTAGAGTTGGAAGGGACCCCGAGGGTCATCTAGCCCAACCCCCTGCAGTCCAGGAACCACAGTTGTCAATATCCTCCTTAAATTGTGGTACCCAGAACGGGACACTCTTTTCATTCTCTCACAGCCCAGCCTGCATTGCTTCATTGCAGTATGTGTCACCCACATCCTCTTGACTTCTGTCTCTCTCCCAGTATGCAGCTGATCCTCAAGACAAGCACTGGCTGGCCGAACAGCAGCACATGAGAGCCACGGGGGGCAAAATGGTGAGCGTCCCAAAGCCTGAGGAAAACAGAACTGAATGCACTCTGAACGGCACGACAAATTTAACGGCGTTTATGAGACCTTCTGCTGTCTAGGGCCTCTGCTGCTTCCTTTATGCAGTTTTCATAGAATTCCTAGAGTCAGAAGGGAACCCAAGGGGTCATCCAGCCCAACCCCCTGCTGCAATAATAAAATTTTATTTATATCCCACTCTTCCCAGCCGAAGCCGGGCTCAGAGCGGATAACAACAATAAAAGTAACACAACATTCTAAAATCAATTCATTTTAAAATCAATTCAAAATCGAATTAATGACCACCATTGGGCTAGAGTTCTGTGAGGATTACAGAAGGAGGGGGTCAGACTGTGCCTTGGCCAAAGGCCTGGTGGAACAGCTCTGTCTTGCAGGCCCTGCGGAAAGATGTCAGGTCCCGCAGGGCCCTGGTCTCTTGTGACAGAGTGTTCCACCAAGTTGGGGCCACAGCCGAAAAAGCCCTGCAGCAACCACAGCTAGAGCATCCCTGTCAGAGGACCACCCAACCTCTGCTTCTAAAACCTCTGATGAAGGAGAGCTCACCACCTTCTGGGGGAGTCCTTTCCACTGTTGAACTGCTCTTGGCCTCAGACAGTTCTTCCAAATCTCCCTTCTTGTCATTTGAATCCACCGGTTCGGATCCTCCCCTCTGGAGCAGCAGAAAAGAAGCTTGCTTTGCAAGCCCCCAAGAGCTGTGTGGTGGGCCTGTCTGGCTGGGCTGGGCTGGGCTGGCTTCTCCTTTACAGGGGGAGTTGGGGGTTGCAAACTGCGGCCTTGCCATAGCTAGCAACTCCTCGGTCTCTCTCTCTCTCTCTCCTTCCCAAGGCCTATCTCCTCCTGGAAGAGGACATCCAGGATCTGGCTATGAGCGATGATTACCGGTGAGTTACAGAGCAGGCCCTGCTTGGGGTGCGGATTCTGCCCCTGTGCACAGCTGAGCTTTGTGTCCTGCGCAGGGCGCATGGGTGTGCATGGAGCCAGCCCCCCAAGTCTCGGAGGACCCACACGGTCCCACGTACCTGGTGCTGGGGGGACGACTGTTTGGGGGGCAGGCAGGCAGGCAGGCCCGAGTCCTAAGCTGGCTTTCCTGTCCCGTTGTGCCCTAAGAGGTGCCCCCTCTTCACGGGATCTTCCTCTCTCCTCCAGTTCTTCCATGGATCTGAAGATGGACGAACTGAAGCCCTTCACTCCTCCGCCGTGGATGACTGCCAAGATGCGGAGGTTCATGGAGACCCTTCGCAGCGAAGGGGAACTGCCGCTACCGCCGGAGGGGACTCAGGACACATAGGGCCTCATCCTGTCCTCACCCGCTTCCTCCTTGAGCCACCGGGCAGTGATGGGCTTGCGCTGCCCGCTGGGCTTCCTGAGGGCAGGCAAGAGAAGCCGCCGGGCCCAGCCTGGTCACCCTTGGGCAGTGATGCAGCACAGGATCCTTCCCAGGGGCTCACCTGCTTCCCGTTTCTGTACTTTAATCGTCTTCTTGCTCTTAGGAATAGTTTGGAAATAAACACGTCCGCCTGACCCTGCTGTGTCTCTCTTGAAAGGCTGGGAGGGCGCAGGGAAAAGGCCTGTCCCTGAACCAAATATGCAGCAAATTGGTGGATCCACAAGTCCATGGGGTGGTAAAGGTAAAGGGACCCCTGACCATTAGGTCCAGTCGCAGCCGACTCTGGGGTTGCAGCGCTCATCTTGCTTTATTGGCCAAGGGAGCCGGCATACAGCTTTCGGGTCATGTGGCCAGCAGGACTAAGCTGCTTCTGGCGAACCAGAGCAGCGCACGGAAACGCCATTTACCTTCCTGCCAGAGCGGTACCTATTTATCTACTTGCACTTTGACGTGCTTTCGAACTGCTAGGTTGGCAGGAGCAGGGACCGAGCAACGGGAGCTCACCCCGTCGCGGGGATTCGAACCGCCGACCTTCTGATCGGCAAGTCCTAGGCTCTGTGGTTTAACCCACAGCACCACCTGCGTCCCCTCCATGGGGTGGAGTTCCATGCAATAAGCCTCTTTTTTGAAAATGTGGGGGTTTTCCAACAGCTCTCAGGAGGGGGAAAGCAGCAGAAGCTGCTCCCTTCTCCTCTCTCTTCCGCTGAGCACGAGCTTTGCAAATTCCCTTGTGGGTGGACACAGGAAGGAAGCAGGAGGAATCTGATGAGTAATAATAATACTTATTACTATTTATTATGCCTTAAATTTTATACAGCACTTGTAAAAACCTCAAAGCAGTTTGCAATAATTATAAGGCATTAAAATTAGCAATAATTTAAGGCTTTCCAAAAAGTTAAAATAGCACTAGACTGAAAACAGATTAAAACTGGCATTAACTATGTAAGCATCTGGACAGGCAAGTCTAAACAAAAATGTTTTTAGCAGGTGCTGAATACTGTGAAGGCTCCTGCCTGGTGTCAATAGGCAGGGAGTTCCAAAGTGAAGTGGCTGCCACACTGTAAGACTTGAGTCCTTACAAATGCAGAAAAGGGGTCTTAATGTGCTCCTGTAACGCACCCTATTCTCAAGGCTTACTGTGTAAAGCACAATTGGGGAACCTGTGGCCTGCTGGACTAAACTCCCATCAGCCCTAAGCACTGGCCCTGCTGGCTGCGGCTGATGGAACCTGGAATCAAAGGACACAGGAAAGAAAGAAAAAGAAGCCATAAAAACTGAAGGCAGGAAGGAGAAGCAGTGCTTGAAGGTGTGGGAAGGTGGGTTTGGGTTTCAGGGAACAAGGAAGCAGGAAAGTATTGGTGGAGAGAGGAGGAGGAAAAGAAAAGGGAGGAGTGTAGAAAGGTGAGTGGAACTGGGTGGAGGGGAAACAGCAGAGAGAAGAAGAGAAGGCAAGGGGTTAAGGCAGCAGCCAAGTTGCCTTGGGAGGAATGTGACAGGCCTGTCCACTCTGCACCCCAGCATCTCACCGGAGCACCTCATCCCTTTCCTCTCTAAACCAAAAAGTCCCAAATGCTGCAATGTTTCCTCGTCAAGGAGTTGCTGCATCCCCTTGATCGTTTCAGTTGCCATTTCCTGATCCTTTCCCAGCTCTCTCAGATCCTTTTGGGAGGTGAAGCAACCAGAATCGTGCACAGGATTAAAAAAACAACACCAGTACAGTACACCCGTGCGAGGTTGTTGTTGTTTGGTCGTGTCTGCATCTTCATGACCCCCTGGACCAGAGCACGCCAGGCCCTCCTGTCTTCTACTGCCTCCCACAGTTTGGTCAAACTCATGCTGGTAGCTTCAAGAACACTGTCCCACCATCTTGTCCTCTGTTGTCCCCTTCTCCTTGTGCCCTCCATCTTTCCCAACATCAGGGTCTTTTCCAGGGAGTCTTCCCTTCTCATGAGGTGGCCAAAGTCTTGGAGCCTCAGCTTCAGGACCTGTCCTTCCAGTGAGCACTCAGGGCTGATTTTCTTCAGAATGGAGAGGTTGGGTCTTCTTGCAGTCCATGGGACTCTCCAGAGTCTCCTCCAGCACCAGAATTCAAAAGCATCAATTCTTTGACAATCAGCCTTCTTGATTGTCCAGCTCTCACTTCCATACATCTCTACTGGGAAAACCATAGCTTTAACTATACGGACCTTTGTTGGCAAGGCGATGTCTCTGCTTTTTAAGATGCTGTCTAGGTTTGTCATTGCTTTTCTCCCAAGAAGCAGGCGTCTTAATTTCGTGACTGCTGTCACCATCTGCAGTGATCATGGAGCCCAAGAAAGTAAAATCTCTCACTGCCTCCATTTCTTCCCCTTCTATTTGCCAGGAGGTGATGGAACCAGTGGCCATGATCTTCGTTTTTTTGATGTTGAGCTTCAGACCATATTTTGCGCTCTCCTCTTTCACCCTCATTAAAAGGTTCTTTAATTCCTCCTCACTTTCTGCCATCAAGATTGTGTCATCTGCATATCTGAGGTTGTTGATATTTCTTCCAGCGATCTTAATTCCGGCTTGGGATTCATCCAGCCCAGCCTTTCGCATGATGAATTCTGCATATAAGTTAAATAAGCAGGGAGACAATATACAGCCTTGTCGTACTCCTTTCCCAATTTTGAACCTGTCAGTTGTTCCATATCCAGTTCTAACTGCGAGGTAGGCCAGTGCAAGTCTTGACTAAGGGCAAATTGTACGCCGTGCATTTTAAACACATCACTCCCACGCACACACATCCGAAAAAATCCGGGGAAATGTAGTTCAGTGCGAACTACAATTCCCGAGAGTCCTGGGCGGGCGGGGCTCTTTCAATTCCTGGTCGCGGCCCCTTTAAGAGCCCCGCCCCCGGCTTCCTTCTTTCTGAATCGGACCCGGGCAGCCAATGAGCGGCCTCCTCCCGCCGCGCCCGCCGCCCGTTTCCAGGCGCTCCCATTGGGCGGATCGAAGGCCAGCGCGGCGCTGATTGGCCCCTGCCGCGGAGCTTTGCAACATTCAAACTGGGGCCGCGGCTGCCGGCGAGGAAGAGGAAGAGGAGGAGGAGGCGCCGCCGCCCGACCCGCGCAGCCCGCCCGCCCGCCATGGCCTCGCAGAACGCCGACCCCGCCGCCGCCGCCCGCCACGCCACGAAGGCCGCCGAGCCCGGCAGCGCCGCCGCCCGGGGCTCCGTCCGGAGCAGGTAGGGGCGAGGGGGCAAGGGGGCTCCGGGGCGCGGGCAGAGTGCCGAGGCGGCCCTTCCTGTCGGGGGGGGGGAGGAGGTTGGCCGTCGGGCTCCTGAGCGCATGCAGAGTTCCGCCGTGCTTCTTCCTGCGTGCGGGGGCAAGGGGGCTCCGGGGCGCGGGCAGAGTGCCTCCGTGCTTTTTCCTGTGGGGGGAAGGAGGTTGGCCGTCGGGCTCCTGGGCGTGTGCAGATTGCCTCGGAGACCCTTCCTGTTTGCGGGGAGAAGGGGGCTTCTGAGCGCCTGCAGAGTGCCTAGGCGGCCCTTCCTGGAGGGGGGAGGGGGAGGTTGCCAGGCTCCTGAGCGCCTGCAGAGTGCCGCCCTGCTTCTTCCTGTAGGGGGGGAGGAGGTTGGCCGTCGGGCTCCTGGGCGTGTGCAGATTGCCTCGGAGACCCTTCCTGTTTGCGGGGGGAAGGGGGCTTCTGAGCGCCTGCAGAGTGCCTAGGCGGCCCTTCCTGCAGGGAAGAAGGAGATTGGCCGTCGGGCTCCTTCCTGTTTGCGGGGGTAAGGGGGCTCCTGGGCGCGTGCAGAGTGCCCCCTGCGGACCTTCTCTTTCCGGACCCCTGCTGCCGATCTAACCCTCTTTCCCATGTCTCCGCCCCACAGGCTGCAGCAGGAGCTGATGACTTTGATGGTGAGTCGCCCTTTCAGCAGCCCCTGAACTGCTGCTCTGCTTCTGCATGGGGAGCCCAGAGGGGGGCGGGAGCTTCCTGCCCAGGATGGATGCCCTTTAAGGGTCCCGGCCGAGTAAGGGGGGGATGGGGTGCCTTGGCTCTGCCAGGGAAGGAGGAAGATCCATCTTGAATGTCTTGAGCACCCCAGAACTGAGCCAGCGCCCCTGGGGGCTCCTTTGCTGGGGCGTCGCCTTCCATCTATTTATTTGCTTGCTTCATTCAATTTATACCCTCACTTGATTGTAGCTGAAAACCTCAGCGCAGGTTAAGAATTTGAGATGTATGTAATGAACAAAAATGAGAACTGAATAAAAAAAATTAATAAAAATAAAAAACCTCAGCACAGTATAGGAAAAAGTCAAAAGAACAAAAAAATCCCACAAAAAATAGTACAGAAATAAGTTAAAACACAAAAGGTTACAAGAACAATGTGCTGGAAAAAATTGAAACACATCCATTTGTCTAAACAGGCTTGTCTAAACAAGAACTACAGTATGTTGTTATTATTTGTTGAAATTGTTAGTCACTTTATCTTGCTCAAGGGCAAACCAAACAAAATACCGGTACAAAGCCCACGTGGATGCAGTAAAAGCAGGTGTGGGGGATAAATAAAAAATATCCCACTCAGGCACCCTAAAGCGTTCAGTGAAGGCAGCTGCCTCATCTCAAGTGGCAAGGAGTTCCAAAGTGTAGATGCTGCCCTGAAAAACCGAGTTCTTACAAATGCAAAATAGGCAACGTGGGGCGCCTGTGACAGGGCCCCGATTCACAGTCCGAAGCGGTTGGGTGGGCAGATAGGAGGCAAGGCAAGCTGCTAGGTAAACTGGCTCCAAGTTGCTGAGGGTTTTGTGGGCAGTAATAATAATAATACATTTTATTATTTATACCCTGCTTTCCCCAGCCACTCTGGGCGGCTCCCAACAGAACGCTAAAAACAGAATAAAACTGCAAACATTCAAAACTTCCCTAAACATTACTAATGGAGGGGCAGCTTGTGAGGCTGTGTGCCGCCTGAGGGGGGCGCCCTGTTGCCCCGGGGGAGGAATGTGGGTCGGCCGGCCAGGGCAGTTTTCCTCCACCCTCCTGGGTGAGACAACCCAGTGCTTCCAGCAAACCGCAAAGCGTCTCCCAGTTCCCCCTTCTTCAGCCACTCTCGCCTGTTTCTCCACGCAGATGTCTGGGGATAAAGGGATCTCGGCCTTCCCAGAGTCAGACAACCTCTTCAAGTGGATCGGGACCATTAATGGAGCAACTGGGACGGTGAGTTGGGTCAGGGGGGAGGAAGCCTTGGGCCTCGGAGGTCAGCCTCATCTTCACAGGCGGAAGCAGCAGCAACAGTTCTCCAGGGTCTGGGGAGGGGGGGTCTCCCCCATGTGCAGAATCAGACCCAGGGCCTTCCATGCGCAAGGTGCAGCCACCCTGCGGGGTGAGAATTGGGGCAGGGGGTAAGGCAGGGACCCCAAATGAGCCATGCTGCTATCATCCGTTTGTCCTGGGAACAACAATGTCCATCTGAGGGTCCCGGGTGTCTGGAGTGGTGCGCAGACCTGGGAACATGCAATGTTCCCAGTGTACTCCAGTGGAGTCCAGGGTCAGGTTTAAGGTGCTGGTGAGAGAAGTTGCAGCCACAGCAAAGGTGGCATTTTCCCATCTCCACCGTATTAAGCAGTTGGTCCCTTGCCTTTCCCGCACTGACCTGGCCACAGTGATCCATGCGACGGTCACCTCCAGACTTGATTACTGTAACTCGCTCTACGTGGGGCTGCCCTTGAAGCTGACCCAGAAACTCCAGCGGGTGCAGAATGCTGCGGCGAGGCTCCTTACGGGGTCCTTGCTGCGGGATCACATTCATCCAGCGCTTTACCAACTGTACTGGCTCCCGGTGGAGTACAGGGTCAGGTTGAAGGTGCTGGTTTTGACCTTTAAAGCCCTATGCAGCCTAGAACCCAAGTACCTATGGGACCACCTCTCCTGGTCTGCCCCGCGGAGGACCTTAAGGTCCACAAATGACAACACCTTGGAGGTCCCAAGTCGCAAGGTGGTTAGACTGGTCTCAACTAGGGCCAGGGCCTTCTCAGTACTGGCCCTGACTAGGTGGAACGCTCTGTCACAAGAGACCAGGGCCCTGTGGGACTTGACATCTTTCCGCAGGGACTGCAAGACAGAGCTGTTCCGCCTGGCCTTTGGATTGGACACGGTCTGACCCTTATGTTTCCCTCCCCTTATGGTCTTGATCTATGGGCTTCTTTTAAAATGAGGCTGCATTTTAAATTGCATTTTAACCTGTATTTTAAATTGGGTTCTCCCCCCCCCCTTTTTACCCCCTATTATGTTTTTACTGTGATTTTATTGGTGCTAGCTGCCCTAAGCCTGGGGAGGGGTGGGTAGAAATACAATTTTCACTGCTACTATTATTGTTGTTATTAATGCAACATGACCTCTGTGCACGTGCAAAGTGCATTCTGTTATGGCCGTGTATTTAGCCCGCATCCTGCGGTTAGAAGACAGAGACTGAAGTTCAGGCCACTGTCGTCTCTTGCAGAAGGCTTCTGGGTCCTGCCGCTGAGGGCAGAGCAGTTTGGAGATTGCCTAGGAAATGAGGCATATAGGAAAACTGCTGCCAGATTTCACGTGCTTAAGGCAAGAGGGAGTGGCTGCTGCCTGAGGTCAAAGGGGTCCCGAATCTCCTGCAGCGTTCTGTTCTCACAGTGAACACTTAGAAGCCCACAGACAGTGACGGGAAAGGGTGGAAGCAAGTGGAGTTGGGAATCTTGCCTTGAGGCAGGAGGCAGCGTGTTGCAATGGTTAGTGTGCCAGACTTGGGGCGGGGATATACCACTCGGCCATGAAGCTCACACTGAGGACTAGTCACCTGCCTCTCAGCCTAGCCTCCCTCACAGGGCTGTTGCGGGGATTCAGTGAGGAAGGGAATTATTATTTAAGGTAGATAAGGACAAGATGAAATTATACAACTGAATACAAATATAGATGGGAAACGGCTATGTATTGTGAGTACTTATCTACTTTTTAAAATTTTCACCTATGATCTTTTTCTTTTACTTTATTTTTTCTTTGTTCTTTTTTTCTTTTTTCTGATATCTTTCATTTCACTGCTTTATTGTGAATAGCATTTTATAGAGGTATAAATAACTGTAAATATGAAAAGAGACAAAATATTCTCTCATTTTTTTTCCTTGGTTAGATGTATTTTCTTTCTTTTTTTGTATTTTCTTTAGTTGTGAATATGTATGTTTTCTAATTTGTACTTAATAAAAATATTTTAAAAAAATAAAATAAATGAGGAAGGGAAGAACTATGTACACTCCCTTGAGGGCCTTTAGAAAAGGTGAAATATCAATGCAAATATTTATAATTAGATGGAATGCAGTGTCTGCTTTATGCCTCTCTGCTCTTCACCCAACCTCTGCCGCCCCCTTCCTCCAAAAGGTTTATGAGGACCTGAGGTACAAGCTGTCCTTGGAGTTCCCCAGCGGGTACCCTTACAACGCGCCCACCGTCAAATTCCTCACCCCCTGCTACCACCCCAACGTGGACCTGCAGGGGAACATCTGCCTGGACATCCTCAAGGACAAGTGGTCGGCTCTCTACGACGTCCGCACCATCCTGCTCTCCATCCAGAGTCTGCTGGGAGGTGAGTCAGAAGCGCTGGGGGCCTTGGGCTGGGGGGCTGCTCCTGCCCTCCAACTCCAGACCTGGCCTGGGGTCCGGCCAGGACCCTCCAGCCCCAGTGAAACAACCAGCACACAGCTCTACCTGAAGAACTCCTACCCGGTCTTGTCCTGAGAATTCAAGGTGGGCTTGCATGATCTTTCTTGCATGAAAGCCGTTCTCTGCGCCTCATTCGTTTTTCCTTCAACAGCGGCGCTGAAAACCCCAAGCTGATTTAGCCACGGTTGGGTTGGGCGGGATGACCCTTGAGGGTCCCTTCCCTCCTTTGTCCCCCACCCAGAATAATTCCTGGGGCTGTGCTCAGAAGATCTTCCTGGCTGCAACTTCGGCCGTGGGATCAGGTGGGGGTTTCTGAGCTGGGAAGAGTTCCCTGGCCTGTTTCTGGGGCATAGGGGGTGCAGTTGAAGGATCTCTCCCCCCCCCCGGTAGTCTTGGGCCTTTGCCAACCGCAGCCCCTGCCCTGACGGCAAATCTCTCCCCGCAGAGCCAAACGTCGAGAGTCCGCTGAACACGGAAGCTGCAGAGCTCTGGAAGGACCAGGCAGGTGGGTGTCTCAAAATTCAGATTATGCATCAAGGGGAGGGAGGCATAGCGATGGGGGGGTGTCTTTCTGGATCTCCTTTTCTCTCCTCCCCACATCATTTTGAGCCCCAGAGGATGCTGCGAGGATCTGTCCCTTGGAGCATGTACAGAGGGCCAGGGGAAAGTCCTCTGGAACTTGGAGGCAGAGAATGGGCCAGAGACACTTGAGACTGGGGCGGAGAAGGGAGTGTTGGGGGCTGTTTGGAGGCCCAAGGAAGCCCCCCACTTGAGTCCTCAACAGAAGTGAGCCTGTGGGGTGGCTATGGAGGAAGAATCAAAGCCACAGCGCCGGATCCTTTGCCCCCACCCCACGGAAATCGGGGTGTGTGGTTGTCTCTTCCGCCAGCTCCCGACTGCTATTGCAGTCCCGTTTGACATGGCCTTGGGAGGGAAGGGGGAGTGTCTTGGGGTTTTTTTGGGGGGTGCCGTTGCGCAGGATGCAAAAGCCATTCAGAAGCCCCCGCCTCCTTCCCCTGACCTTCGTTTCCGTGTCTCTCCCCCCCGCAGCCTACAAGAAATACCTTCACGAATCGTATGCAAAGCATATGAAGAACCAGGATACCTGATGCCCCCCCCCGCCCCACTCCTGTCTTCCGTCTCCCCCCTGGTGTTGTGTCCGTCTTTGCACCGCTTTCTCTGTGAATGCCACTGTATTATAGACTTGTTTTTAAATTTATTTGGCATTTTGTCCTGTGGATTAATGTATAAATAAACCTGTTTCCTTTTTGGGGTTTTTTTTCTAAACGGGGGCCTGGTTCCTGCTCTGCTTCTGCTGCTCACCTGAGCCCCCTATATTGAAACCCAGAGGTGGGGGGGTCAGCTCAGAGCACCTCTCCCTATGGATGCCGCAAGAGGGGGCTGGCCACTGGGCCGAGGGGGGCCACACTTCATTCTACACCTGGGAGCCCGAGTGTGGGTTGCTGGCTTGGGGAGGAAGTTTTGTAGGCAGCCAGGAGAGTGGCCTTGGCCAAGATAAAGCGACTAACAAATTTAATAAATAGTAATAATAATAATAATAATAATAAATAGCAGGGGTTCTTGAGACTGCCTAAGAAAAGCCCTGCTGGATCTCCTACTCTTCCCGCCCGCCCCGGTTAGATTACCGTACTTTTCCAGGGTTTTTTTCATTAAAAATTATGCTAAAAAGTGGGGGTCGTCTTATACATGGAGCCATCTCCCCCATTTTCTTAAATTTGACTCCCCCAAAATAGGAGTCTTATACACAGAAAAATACGGCGGTTCCCTTGAGGAGGCTGCCATTCGCTGCCTCTTGCAGCTTTGAGTTCCAGGAGCTGGTGATGGGAGAAGACATCATCACATTGTCGGCTTGGGAGGAACCCCCAAGGATCATCCTCTAACCCGGCATTTCCCAACCTTGGGCCTCCAGCTGTTTTTGGACTACAACTCCCATAATCCTCAGCTAGCAAGACCAGTGGTCAGGGATGATGGGAATTGTAGTTCGAAAACAGCTGGAGGCCCAAGGTTGGGAAACACTGCTCTAACCCAGTGGTTCTCCACCTGTGGATCCCCAGATGTTGTTGGACTACAACTCCCATCATCCCTGAGCTCTGGCCTTGCTACCTAGGGGTGATGGGAGTTGTAGTTCAACAACATCCGGGGACCGACAGGTGGAGAAAGGCTGCTCTAGCCCATGCATCCCCAAACTCGGCCCTCCAGATGTTTTGGGACTGCAACTCCCATCATCCCTGACCACTGGTCCTGTTAGCTAGGGATGGTGGGAGTTGTAGTCCCAAAACAGCAGGAGGGCCGAGTTTGGGGATGCTTGCTCTAGCCCAGCCCCCTGTTATGAATCCCTGGCCGGTGGCCACAACAACCGCTATCTAAAAAACCTCCAATGCAGGTCTGTCCTGTTGTTGGTCCTGAATGTCGCTCCAGTTGCTTTTTTGAAGCAAAGTGGCCTTTCTCGCCTTTTTCGAGCCTTCAGCTGAGACCTCTGCCTGCTGGAGTCTTTGGGGCCAAAGAACTTTGGGTGTTTGCCTGAGATTTATAGTGGAGTGGAGTGACGCAGTTTACAATCCGCAAGCAGATATTGAGAAGTGAACCTCGATTTGTCTTCCATACAAACGGACTGACTCTCTTGCAGATGTGGCCCCCACGGTGTGCAGCTGCCCCAGGAAAAGATCTCTGTATGCCCCACCAGAAGACTCCACCCCTCCCATTTCTGGTTGCCTGATTTACAAGCCACTCCAGGGGGCTTATTGGGGCCAGAGGGGAGAGGGTTCTGTGGCCCCCTCCAGGTTGCTGGACTACAGCTCCCCCCATTGCCAGGAGCCAGCCTGGCCCAAAGGTCAGGGCTCAGGGAAACAGGATTGCAGAGTTTGAAAGGGACCCCAAGGGCCATCTAGCCCAACCCCCACAATGTGGGGTGGTGGGGGTGGGATTCGTGGTCCACCCACACCCGGAGGCCCCCGCCATCTGCTCCCATCAACCTCCCCCCGCTGCAGGTCCCATCAACCTCCCCCCGCTGCTGGATCAGGTCCCCACTGCAGACGATGCTCAGCTCCAGTCCATTGCTCTTTATTGATGTGTTGAGTGCTATAAACAGAGCGTCACAGGCTTGGGGGGTCGGTGGGCACCCCCAAAGCGGAGCCGAAACGAGTCTCTGAGCTGTGTTGGAGCAGCAGGCCGGAACAGGACTGGAGGGGTGGGGGCAGCTCAAAAGGCGAGGCGAGGCTTGGCGGCTGGAGCAGAGGCAAGAGGGGGCCGGCTTGGCGGCTGGCAGCGGCCCTCCGCTTTGCAGGAATGTATTGAGTCGCTTTACTGCACACCCTCCATCATCTTCAGGAACTCTGCGGGGGGAGACGGAAGACGGGTCAGTCCGGAGGCAGGAGGGGGCCAAGGAGCGCGGACTCCACACACCACAGTCCTGAGCAGCAGGATCTCAAGGGGGCAGCAACCTCACCAAGATCGGGGCTGGCTGTGACTCTAACCCCCCCCCCCCCCAGATGAAGGGCTCTGGCCAGGTTGCCAAGAGCCCAGGAAGGAAGAGGGAAGCATACAGTGGTATTATTATTACAGTGGTACCTCGGGTTAAGTACTTAATTCATTCTGGAGGTCCATACTTAACCTGAAACTGTTCTTAACCTGAGGCACCACTTAGCTAATGGGGCCTCCCGCTGCCGCCACGCGATTTCTGTTCTCCTGAAGCAAAGTTCTTAACCCGAGGTAATATTTCTGGGCTAGCGGAGTCTGTAACCTGAAGCGTCTGTAACCCGAGGTACCACTGTATATCCATCGAAGCTGGGAATTGATTTACTTGTTTAGATAGATAGATGATTTATTACGGCCTGAGACCAGCTTATAAAACACACTTGGGAGTAGAATCCCAGAAGGAAAGCAAACATTTAAAACAATGTACAACAATAAATTTAAAATTTATAAATGTGATAAGCATATAGACACTGAAAACTTTTAAGATAAGCTACCACAGAGAGATGACCCAGAGTCACCCATGGAACCGAGTTTGGGGATTTTCTTAACAAACTAGTTTGGGTTGGGGGGGGGGATCTGCGCCTACAGATCTGTACACAGAATCTGGCGATCATCCGGGTCGTCTTATGATCTTTGCCTAACAGAAAAAGGTCCAATTTTTGCTTTTCCGGGAGGTCAGCGAGCCTCACCAGCAGGGATTTACTTGTTTGTATATAAGATTCGTATTCTGCTTGAGGGGGGGCTGTGTGTGCCTTGAGGGCCCTGCCCAGTAGGACAGGGAGCCTGTGGGGCTGGCGGAAGGATCGCAGAGCTGGCCGGACACCCCACCCTCTCCAGCTCCAAAGAAAGGCTGGCTGACCCACTCACCATCAAAGTCGATCCGGCCATCGTTGTTTTTGTCGCCATCCTTCATGAGCTCCTCGATCTCTTCTGCAGTGACAGGCTCTCCGGATAACTGGAAGATCTCGACCAGCTCCTCTGCGTCCAGGAAGCCATCACCATTCCTGTTTTGGGGAGGGGGGAGGAGAAGTGTTGAAGGCAGCCCTGAGCTCCTCCTGATCTAAACCCATCTCTGCAGTCTGATCAGAGCCAGGTCTGGGCTGGAACGGGGGCAGGTGACCCGATGGGTCCCTTCCAACTCTATGGGAACAGCTGTGGGGACGTGGTTTCTGTGGTCTTCTCCTAAGGGGGGGTTATGGCTTCTCTGCTCTCCAATGCTTAAAGTTGGGGAGACCAGAGAAGTACTTTGAAAGGCAAGAAAGAGTCCCTAGGTGTTTCTTGCCAGGAACGAAAGAAGAAGAATGGAGGATGAAATTAACGGACTATGCAGAACTAGATAAACTAACAGGAAGGATTTGAAATCTGCGGGACCAGAAATTCACAGAAGACTGGTGTAAATTTACAGACTATTTGAAAAGTAATTGTGATGATCAGACTACGTTTGTAGGTTTGCAAGAAGTTTTGTGAGGAGAATTATTGGAACTATTGCACAAATGGATAAAGGGGAGGATGGTTAGTTAAGATAATTAAAGGCAATATGAATTTAAGAGATGCATAAGAAGTGGTCAAAACGGCGGATCATCAGAGGTGCTGATGGAAGTCCAAAAAAAGATTGTATAAGTGGTGAAGTTTTATGGTATGCATTATAATTTATATGTTAAAATTAATAAAAAATATTTTTTTAAAAAGAAAGAAACCGTCCCTAGCAGAGCACCTCCTGCAGATCTTAAAAGGCAGCCAGCTTGGTGTGGGAAGAGGTGTTCCTTCAGCCTTGACGCCCTAAAATGGGCCCAGGAGACAAGCAGCGATGGGTGCAATTGTTCTCAGAGTTGATATTCTCCCTGCCAGGAAGTCTCCTGCAAAGAGCATTGCAAGAGCTGACCCTGAAGTAGCAGAGCAAAGATCACCGAGGCCAAAGGCGATTCAAGGAGCACCCCCCAAGCTACGCGCCTGCTCCTTTGAGGGCAGTGCCACCCTGTCTAGAACAAGATGCCCACCAGCGCCCAGTTTGGCGAGCCCATCACCCACAGAGCTTCTGTCTTGTCTGGATTCCATTGGTTTGTTGGCTGCACAACTGGCATGTGGGGTGGAACCGGGCAGGTGCCCCCTACCCCACTTCTCTGGATGGAGCCAATGTGTGGGTTTTGGATGGGTTGGCCTGTGGCAGACTGGTGGGGAGGGAAGGCTCCCCACTGGCGTGCCAGGATGAGACTGCATGTGGCCTTCTGACTCCACACAAGCACCCCAGGGTTGGTGACTCCCAACTCTTCCTTCCCCTCCAAGCCTGGCACCAGCTGGGCAGGGACCAAGCAGTGAAGGGAGATGGTGTCTGGGCAGCCAGGATCACTGGGTCCCCTGAGGTTCCCGGACCCCCTTCTGCACCTTTCACACTTAGCTCAGCCAAGTCCTCTGCCTCTGCAGGGGCAGGAGGAGCCCCTATCCGTTGTGCCTGGCATTCGCCTAGTCAGGCTCCTCCTTCCTCAAAAGCTGCCAGTGTTTGCCGGGAGGTGAAAAAGGAGACCGGACAGAATTAGCCTCCAGGTAACAGGAGAAGAGGCAGCTTCTGCGACAACTGCAGCTCACTCTCTGCTTGGGCTCTGGGTGCGAAAGCCAGCTTTGGGAAGAGCTGCAGGTGGGGAAATCTCAGTTCTGTGGTGCCCCAGCTTGGATGGTTGGTGATGAAGAAGGCAATATTCTACTTTGTCCAAATGCAGGAGGGAACCACAACGGGTGCCCACCCCTTCCTGGTTTGCAATCCTGACCCAGGGAACTCTCCTGGTCAAATCCACATCAACAGACCCAGAGTCCCACAGACAGAACTTATATACTGACTGCATCTGTAGTCCACCTTTCTCCTCCAAGGAGGTCCAGGTGGCCTACGTTGTTCTCCTGCTCTCCATCCCCACAACAACCCTGTGAGGTAGGTCAGGCTGAGAGGCAGCGACACCCGGGGAGCTTCCCAGCGGAGTAGGGAGAGGATTTGAACCCTGGTCTCCTGGGTCCTCATCCGACACTCTAACCACTATACCACACCACATTTGTTTTGACAATAAGGGTCATTTGACGGTGGAGCGGACTCTCCTTCGCTGGAGGCTTTTGCGCAGAGGTCGGGTGGTCACCTGCCAAGGATGCCTTAGCTGTGATTCCTGCGCTGCAGGGGGTTGGACTAGAGGACCTTTGGGGGACCCCTTCCAGTTCTGTAGTTCTATGACTCAGTGCCAGTGCAGCTGCCATAAGGAGCTTTGAATGGGGGTCTTGGCAGAGCATAAGTATCTCTGTGTGTGATCTGAACATTGCCCCAGCTGTTCAGCCTTTAAAAAAGCCCTTCTCCAGGCAGGAGGGGCTTCTGCTGCCCCCCCATCTCGGCCTCACCTGTCAAAGATGCGGAAGCACTCTGCCAGCTCCTCCTCGCTTTTCCCCTTGGCATCCTCTTTCATCTGGCGCACCATCATGACCAAGAACTCCTCGAAGTCGATGGTTCCGCTGCCTGCAGGGAGGGTCCCCGGGAGAAGGGTGAGGGTTGCCCCCTCCGGCCCCCCCTCAGCCTCCCTTCACCCCCCCCTCAGATGCAGCCCCCTCCTCACCATCCTCATCCACCTCCTCTATGATGGCGTCCAGCTCCTCTTTGGTGGGCGTCTGCCCCAGCATCCTCATGACGGTGCCCAACTCCTTGGTGCTGATGTCGCCGCCCCCGTCCGCGTCAAACATGTCAAAGGCGGCCTTGAACTCTGCAGGGGGGAGAGAGAGCGGGGGGGTTAGGGGGTGAGCCTGGCAGGAACCAGAGCAAAGTTTGGGCCAACATCCAAGTCAGCTTGGAGGTTTCCCAGATCCCGCAAGCCCTGAGTGGCAGGGGTTGGGCTGGATGACCACTAGGGGTCCCTTCTGACTACGAATTCTAACATTTTCATTCTTTCTAAAGGGCCAAAGGAGGAGAGGAGGGAATGGGATTGCCAACGGGCTGAAAAGAATAATAGAAAAACCATCTGCCCACAATGCAGGACCCCTCTGCCTTTTAGCCTGAAGGTGTCATTCTATGGAAAATCTCATGGAGCTTCTGCAGGTGGGATCAGCTCCTTTGGTGGGGGGACCCCAAAACAACACCCCCCCCCCATGCATGCACACAATCCCTGCTCTGCTCAGGCAGAGAATGGAACGGAGAAGGGCAACCCCTCCCCAAGTGGTAATGCTTCAAACCTCACACAACCCACAGGCAGAGGTGGCAGGGAGTCCTTGGCCAGGGGATGTCTAGGGTGGGGCAAACTGCTAAGCACAAGGTCAGAACTGCAGGGGGCAGCAGGCCCACACTTAGCGGCAGCAGCAACCGCTCCGCCCTGGACCTCCCCATTCCAGGCGTTCCCCTTCTGTGTGTGCAGCTGGAGGTTCAGGAGCCATTCAAATGAGAGGAAGATGGTTGCTTGGTTGCAATTTAGGGGTCCATTTTGGAGGGGCTTGGCAATATTTTGGGTGCTTGAAGAGGGGGTGCCTCCCCCCACCACCCATCATGGGATCTGTTAATCCTCTGAGCCTCCAAAGCCACTTGTGGAATGGCTGGGCATGGATATTAATTCTTACTAGTCTTACGTTTATATCCAACCTTTTCCTTTCTTTCTCCAAAGAGCTCAAGAGGGTATAAATGGCTTCGCCTCCCACTTTTATCTCCACAACAACCCTGTGAGGTAGGTCAAGCCGGGAGGCAGTGACCCGAGGCACACCCAGGGAGCTTCATGGCTGCGTAGGGAGTTGTACCAGGTCTCTTCCAGGTCCTCGTCCAACACACTAACCACTATACCACACTGTCTCTCAGGGTGCCAGCAAATAAAGTACTAGTTTATGACGTTTTGTGGTTACCCCGCCTTCCTCCCTAGTTGGCCCACATCCAGCGCAGCCACTTTGCCCCTCGGCCGAGTCAGGGTGCCCGCTGTGCCCACGCCACCCGGGATGCCCCTCAACTCACCCGCGATCATTTCCTCAGTGAGGAAGGACCGGGCTTCCGCCTGCTGGTCTGTCTGCAAGGCAAGGGGAGGAAGTCACCAAGGGAGCAGAGTCCGGCCCAGCCGGGGCCATGCCCAGGGATACCCTGCCCACTCCTGCTACCTGCGGTCCACTCTGCCATTGCCGCTGCTGCCAACTCCTCCTCAGGTGTTTGCTTCTCTCCCGATACTTTCTTTCCCCAGCCCACAAAAAGCCCCTTCTCTTGGCATCACCAGAAAGGTGACTGCCAGCCACTGGAGCGCCAACCCAACTTTGGCCTTGGCTTGCTCTGCCTGGCATCCTGCAGGTGGCACAGCCGAAGGGGATTCATGGCACCCAACCCTCCGCGGCTGGGGTTGCTAGTGCCAGGAGCTTGCAACAGGAGACAGAAGGAGCGCTGGGATTCCCGTTGTGGCTCCTGCATTGCAGTGGGGTTGGAGTAGATGACCCGGCGGGGTCCCTTCCGATTCCGTAAGAGCATCCCTTGCTCTCGAGAGGCTGGGCGGCCCAGATCCACAAAGGCAGTTGCTCCCTGAGCAGCCCCTGCGTGGGTCCCCATGGAAGGCCCTTTGCAGTGCCAAGGTCCCAGGGCCCCCTGGCAGAGGCAGCCAGCTTTGCCCCCAACTTGCGCAGCAGCCCCAGGCTCCTTTGGACTTTGCCAGGATTCCTGGGTCCTGAGAGAGGGGCCTCCCGGTGCCCGCAGCGGCTGGCCAGAGGAGAGGATGGTGCTCCTTGACCGCCAGATGCTATTCTTAGCAGCGCCCGCCGGCTGCCTCCTTCTAGGGTGCTCAGCAGGCAGCCAGCACCTGTCGGCTGGCGGATTGGGTTACTCCTTCGAGCCGGGTCTTGCAGCTCAGCGGCCGGCGGGCAGGCAGGATTCTCGGCCGGTTCTCATGACCGGCGGCTTGGCTTTCTCCACGGCCATCCGGCTCCATACTTCGTGTCCTTGGCCAGGCTTTGCGAGGGGTGCAGTGCCCCCCAGGGCAGCCCACCACCCGCCCAGATCCAAGCAGATTCCCCATTTGCCCCCATCTCTCTTCCAGCAAAAACCGCCCCCCAACACCCCGAGCCACGGTTGACCTCTTCGCCCTCCCTCTCCACAGGGGCAGTAATAAAGAAGACCCCATCCCCACCCCCGGCCTTTTTCCTTGCCCCTCCCAGCCCCCCCTCCAGTCTCCCCTGCAGCCTCAGCCAAAGGGCCACTCCTGCCCTTCGGCCCCACACAGGGCAGCTCCGCCGGGAGCCGTGCTTGTGTCCTGGCCACGTCTCCCGCCACGGTCTGTGCTGGTCCTGGGCCCCGGCGCCGGCCTGTCCCATCGGACGCGCGAACAACCAGTCCATCTCACCACCTGCGCACGATCCGCGGCCCGGTCCGGCATCCCGGGAGGAGATGTGTCTCCCACCGTCCTGGGCGCCGCCGTCAAAAATGGGCACACGTGCCCATGTCTTACCATGCTTACCATGTTGGCAGGAAAGACCCCACAGCAACCCACAGAGAGAAAGAGACCCGGCGCGTCCGCTCCACTCCACTCCCCAGCGGACGACGGAAGAAAGCTTCTCTGCAGCTTCTGGCAGGGCCATTTGTACTCTGCCCGCTGGGCGGGGCCCTGCCCAGGCCCTCGCCATTGGACGCTGCCGGGAGGCGGGTCTCCGGAGAGCCAATCGCCTCCCTTCCTGCCTGCTCATTGGCCGGTGGGGCATTTTAGCCAAATTTAGCCAAGCCACTCCTGGCTGCGTCCATCCTCAGGCTGGAGGAGGAGGAGGCGGGGAGGGTCCGGGTGCCCTGGGGGGAGAAATCCAACACCTCCCCGAGAGAAGGATAAGAAGCTGGAGGCAGGCTGCCCACAGACTGTACATGCCCGTCCGCTGAGCACACCTGCCCCAGGCCAGCAGGGGGTTAAAAATAGCAGGGACAAAGCCGTGGGTGTTCTCCTCCGTCTCCAGACACAAGCATCCCATATATTGAGGATGGAGGGAGGGCTGGGAAGTCCTGAAACACAACCTGCTCTCCTGAGTATCCTCCTGGCCCATCCAAGTGGAGGAATGGCCTGTTCTGGGGGTGGGGCTCCCCTCCCAGGTCTGCCTAGGCTAAGTCAGCAATGTCTAGGCAACACGGTGACCATGTACATACACAACAGACAATCTTTTATAGAATTCCTTCAAACCATAACAAGTCCAGAATGAAATCTTTAGTCTCAAAGTCTCTGGAAATCTTTAAATGAAGCGAGGTACCAGACTTTGTTCGATGAAAGACAAGTTGTGAAGCTTTGTGTATTCAGCAAATATAATGTCCAACACTGAACAGTTATTCCGGATATTGACTACTGTTTCGTAAAATTCTTCGTCAGCGTGGTGGGAGGATGTAGAATTGCTTCATAAACTGAAAATAAAATTTTACAGACGATGACCTGCATGCACATATCACTTTACAAAAATTATAAACTATAATACAAACAGCAATGAAAAAGAGTACATACCCCATCTTATTTCGAATGAATGTATGTAAATGAAACTATCAAATGCTGTGGAACAGGGCTCATGTAATAAGGCCTAGACTAAGGGCTGGGAGCACACTTTTTCTTTTGCTAAGCTGCTGGGCACCCAAGCAGTGGAGGCCCCCCTGCTGTCACTTATTTATAAAGGGATCCAGTTTCCTCCGTGGCTCTGAGGGAAGTCGTGTGTGAAATAGGAAGAAGACCAGAGAGCATGGAATCTGTGGGACCCTTTCTCTCTCCTTCCCAAACTTCCCAGCCTCAGTCCATGGAAAGTCACTGACCACAAGACACATCAGAAGAGCCAGAGGCCCCCCTAGTCCAGCATCCTGTGAAGGGTGGCTATTATGGGAAACCAGCTAGCAGGATCTCAGCAAGAGAGCAGCTGCCCTGTCCTGTGGCTCCCAGCAGTAGGGATTCAGGATCATTTCTGTGTCCAACTGTAGAGGCAGGGCAGAGCCATCCTGGCTAGGAGCTCTCCAGAGCCTTCTCCTCCCGCGTGAGTCATCCCTGGGTCCTGCAGGAAGGAGTTCCAGAGTTTAATTTCCGTGCTGCCTGAAGAAGCCCTTCCTTTCATCTGCCCAACATTCAGCTTCATGGGAGAGAAGGAGAAAAGGTTTCCTCCGCCCCATTTCTCCAGGCTGTGCATCATGTTATAAACTTCTCTGACGTCGCCAGAGACCCATGTTGTGGAACGGTCCTCTCCTGATGGAAGGGAGCAGCTGGCTGCCCCCGTCCGCTTCCCCTATTAATAGACATTCCTAAGGAAAGCTGCTGAGGAGGCCAGCAGAGCAGCTTCCTAAATAAGGCAGAGAAGTGGCGGTGGGGGGGTCTAGTCTCTCCCCCCCCCACCAAATACACCTTGAACCCTCACCAGATTGAAGGCACAACAAAGGAACCTGGCAGAGTTGCAGGGTTCTGGCACCAGAGGTGATTCGCTTGTTGGCTTCTTGGAAAGGCGTTTTAAAAGTTTTCAGGACTGGCAGGGCTTGTGTTCTGGAAATGCCACCTCCTCCCCCGCCCCAGCTCCTGCCATGTGCCCCAGAACAGCCCCTCACACACACACACTGCAGGGGGCTCAAGTGTCAAAGCGCTGGCAGCTTCCCCATGTGGCTCCTCCGGAAAGTTTGCTTAAGAAAATTCACAGGAGGAAAGTTTGCCATCCTCTCCTCCCCCTCGAGGGCACCTGGGACAACCGAAAGCCTCTCCGGAAGGGCATAGAATCGTAGAGTTGGAAGAGGCTCCAATGTAGGGGTGCAAATATCCAGAGTGTGGGGGTCAGGTGGGATTGCTATGAGGAATTATGAAATATGAAGCAAGCCATTGTGTCAGCAATGAAAGCATTGCGTTGACTGGGTTTGATTCATTGACAATAGTTTCTGATCAAATCCCACAAGCCTCTCCATTTCTGCCATTTGCTTTCTCTACACCTGACAGGCACCGTATAATCATTCTAAAACACAGGCCAGTTGCTTCACCGGGCATCCTCAGTACATAAAGATAGTAGGTAGCTTCTTTGATGTAGTTTGTTAATCTTTACATACATCTTAAGGGCCAGGAAGAGAGTTCACAAAGAGATGGTAAATATTGCCATCCTGCCTCTCCTGTTTACTCCTGTTTATGACCTCCAGGGTTTCCTTAGTTTCTTTGTAGTTAAAAGAATTTCTCTGATCTGACTTTATTCCACGTGGGGTTTTTGAAATGCTTAGAGGAAATCTGATTGGTTCTTATGAACACTGTGTAAAAAGTTCTTTCGTGAATAAAACGACCTTGGCCGAGGGGTGGAGAGGAATTATTATACGCACTCCTCCCGTCTTGCTGGTGAAGCCTCGTGTGTATTGTATTAATCAGAGTCCAATCCTTCCTTGCTTTGGGAACACTACACTCCAAGGATCATCCAGCCCAACCCTCTGCAATGCAGGGGTCACTGCTAAAGAATCCCTGATGGATGGCCATCCACCTCTGCTTAAAAGCCTCAAGTGAAGGCTTGGTTCCTGAATCACAGGGGGTTGGACTAGATGACCCTCGGGTCCCTTCCAGCTCTACAGTTCTGTGATTCAACTCAGGAGAGCCCACCAGCTACTGAGGGAGTCTGTTCCACTATCAAATAACTCTTGGGTCCTCCCAGACACAGTGGCATTGGGGGCTGGGAGGAGGCGAACTCTTCTTCCTTAGCTTAACCTATACAGTCATACCTCGGGTTATAGATGCTTCAGGTTGCGTTTTTTCAGGTTACGGATGCTGAAACCCGGAAGTACCGGAACGGGTTACTTCCGGGTTTCAGTGGTTGTGCTAAATTGTGCTTTGCACATACGCAGAAGTGCTGAATCGCAATCCGTGCGGGCGCAGACGCGCAGTTGTGGGTTGCGAACGCTCCGGGTTGCGAATGTGCATCCTGCACGGATCGTGTTCGCAACCCAAGTCTTGATAGCACAAGGATGGAAGAATGGGGAAATCCCAACGAAAGAACAGTGGCAAGAAAAATTGATGAGCTATGCAGAGTTGGCTAAATTGACATACAAACTGCGGGACAAGGACAACTGTGACTTTAAGGAAGAATGGGAACTTTTTACAAATTATCTAAAAAAACACAACAAAATGAAATGGACTCCTTGGCAGGTTTTGAATAAACATTCACAAATTTATTGGTTGATTACATGATACATAAGGTAAGGATATGTATAACTTTATAACATGCAGAGAATAATGTGTGCAGAGAAATCAGAGAGAGGAGCTGAGGGGAAAAGGGGGGAAATAACGTATGTGATAATATGGTTTGATAATTTGTTATGTTGAAATTGTTTAATAAAAATGTTTTTTTAAAAAGAGATGTCCGCCCCGTAGGGGCTTGCAATGGTCTCCCTTTTGCACCCATGGAACTGAGCCTGCAGCCGTCACCACTTGGCAGCTGGTGGGTTCGAAGAAGCATCCTGGCCACAGGGATGAGTTTTCTGTGGGTTCCAGGTGCCTCTGCAACATCTGCTTATGAAGGTGAAGGCGCTCCCAGAAGCAGGCGCCACGCTTGCAAATCCCCAGCCTCGGATTCCCCAAGGAATGGGGGTTGATGGAACCTCCATGCCCAGCCGCAGTGTATCTCTACATGCCAGTCGCTGCAGAGAAACAGGAAAAAGGCCTCCTTTGCGGGCTTCCTGGAGGCGTCTGGTTGGTCACCATTTGAAAGAAGAGGCTGGAATTGGCAAACTTAACTCTGAAAATTAGAGAAGAGGTGGGCTTGAAGGAGGAGTGGAAACCTTTTGTTGAATAATTAGATTTTTTCTTTAAAAAAAGAGGAGGCTGTGCTGGGCCCCGCAGGGCTCTTCTGGGGGTTGTAACTGCATTCCAAGGATACTCTCGCTCAGTTTGCAGGTCTCAAAGTGACTTACAACACGGGCTCAGCACTAAAAACCAGTGCCACGAACAGGAAATAAAACGCTTAAAAACACACCCATGCAAACAGAAGAAACAGAGGCCAGATATAAAAGAACTCCAACGGAAGCTGGCTAAACATGAAAGCTTGGGCGCATCCACGTCAGGGCTAACCCAGGCCTCATCCTGCAAACCCATGCAAAGAGGTCTGTGTCCACAGTGAAACAGGATCCAACCCGCTGGCCTCAGCCTCCCTGGAGGCCAGTGACATCTCAGCAAAGCTGCATCAGAGACAAAAGCAGGCGCAGAACCACTTCTGGCCCCAAAGGCCCAAAGTCACAGGCAGAGCAGGCGTCACACTTGCTATCCAATCTAAAACCTCATCTTCTTACTATTAGGTTCCCAGAACCAATTCACTATTTCATTTTCCAGCGTCCTCTAGTGCATAAGAGCAATTTCCTGCAGAATTTCGCAGAAGTAACATGACTAAAAGCAGAAGCAAAACGGAAAGGAGCTTTGTGCAAAAGGAAGGTGGCGCTCCCAGAATAGTCAGGGTGCTAAAAAAATGGAAGCAAGAAGAATCGCCGACAAAAGAAGAATGGCAAATGAAATTAATGGGCTATGCAGAATTAGATAAATTAACAGGAAGGATTTGAAACCTGCGGGATCAGAGATTCTTAGAGGACTGGAGTAAATATTTGAACTATTTGAAAAGCAATTGTGATAAACAGATTACGCTAGAAGGACTGCAAGAAGTTCTGTAAGGAGGACTTTGTGAAATATTGCGAGAAAGACTTTGAAAAGAATTATTAGTTAAGGACAATTAAAAGTAATGGAGAAATTAAGAAATGCAGAACAAGTGATAAAGAACGGAAAATCTTCAGAGGTTCTTGACGGAAGTCTTCTTGGTTCCATTTTTGTGCCAATACTATTCTTGCTGCTGTTGTTGCATATAAAAACAATTTATAATCCTGTCTGTTAATATCCTCCCCTACAATGCCAGAATAGTCAGGGTGCTCAGGACTGCAGCCCAGTCCCTAGAAGCAGCTCCTTGCTTGATGACTCCCTCCAGACAGGGACAGCTGCACACGAATGCTTGGTTTGAGCATCCGACAGACTCAGGCTGATACGAAGGGCCCTCTGGCAAGGACAGGGAAGCAGCCCCTTGCCCCAGAGAAGGCATTCCTTGGGTTCAGAAGGACGGTCTTGCTTCAGCAATCTGGTTTTCCCACCACCACCTTTACCTCCACAACCTACAGGGAGACCCAACTGCCAAAGCCTCAAGGCCAAGGAAGAACACACACAGCTAGGGGGCAAATAAAGGTAAAGGGGCCCTAACCATTGGGTACAGTCACGGACGACTCTGGGGTTGCAGCGCTCATCTCGCTTTACTGGCCGAGGGAGCCGGCGTACAGCTTCCGGGTCATGTGGCCAGCATGACTAAGCCGCTTCTGGCGAACCAGAGCAGCGCACGGAAACGCCATTTACCTTCCCGCCGGAGCGGTACCTATTTATCTACTTGCACTTTGAGGTGCTTTCGAACTGCTAGGTTGGGGGAAAGTAACACCCATTTATTTCACTAAAGCATCAATTCAGGGTTATTCAGGGTTGCCAGCAATATGCAGATGACACTCAGCTCGACTTCTCCATCAACTATGTACAGTGGTGCCTCGCAAGACGAAATTAATCCGTTCCGCGAGTCTCTTCGTCTTGCGGTTTTTTCGTCTTGCGAAGCACGGCTATTAGCGGCTTAGCGGCTATTAACGGCTTAGCGGCTTTAAGAAAAAGGAAACAAACTCGCAAGAACTCGCAAGACATTTCGTCTTGCGAAGCAAGCCCATAGGGAAATTCGTCTTGCGGAACAACTCAAAAAACGGAAAACTCTTTCGTCTAGCGAGTTTTTCGTCTTGCGAGGCATTCGTCTTGCGGGGCACCACTGTATCTGGCTGACTAACATGTCATGGCCTTTAAAATGTGTTTGTGGGGGGGGCTCATTGTTTTGTTTTTTTGTTTTATTATGTATTTTGTGTTCTCATTTTTAAATATTTTTTTCTGTTGTGAACCGCCCTAAGATCTTTGGATAAAGGGCGGAATGGGCGTAGCCAGGATTTTTGTTCAGGGGGGCAGGACTTTAGTTGGGGGGCCAGAACCAATGTGATCAGTCAGTTAGTGAAGCATTTATATTGTTTTACTTGATTGGGGGGGCAGCTGCCCACCTGCCCCCCTTGGCTATGCCCATGAAGGGCGGTATGCAAATCTAATAAATAATAACAAAT